CCTAACTACCTGGTTTCCAACATCTGAAAAGTTACAAAACTGAAAATTATTTTGCATTTCTGTTGCAATGAAAATCTCTTGGCAATATGTTTAAATAATTAAAAGAAACTGTTTTAAAGGTGAACTGATGGAGATGTAGCAACTTCCTGTGGCAGATCTAAAACTCACCACACACACACACACACACACCACATCGTTTGTGCATGTCATGTCCAAATAAAGGCTACTCTGATGACTCCTTAACACCTGAACATGAATAGAACAGATGTCAACGGTGCTTTTCTGCTGGTGTAATAATTCCTCGGAAATCTGACAAATTATAAATAAGTTTTGATATTTAAGGTTCAGTGGGCGGAAATATGTGGGCTCATCACGGAAACCATGTACAAACCTCAGCTATTTTTATTAAGCAGAATTTTTGACCACATGTCATCACTATTCTCCCCTTAATCTAGATTTCCTTATGCATGATTAACCTCAGTATAAGAAGAACCACTAGTAGTTAAGATTTGTGAACAATTACTTGAATGTAGTTCTGTTTATCACAAAAAATAAATAAATAAAAAATGATGGCTTCAGAAAATGAGTCATACACTCATACGACATCTTTATTAAGTACACTTACTAGTATCCAGAGGTGGAAGTAATGAATTACAACTACTCAGATTACTGTAATTAAGTAGTTTTTTCGTGTACTTGTACTTTTATGAGTACATTTTTTACTGTGTAATTAAGTTAAGTAATGTACTTCACTACTTTAAAAATCCCATTAATTACAAAGTACTTGTACAATTTGAATTCAACAATTATTCAAATCTTTAACCAGCATTTGGGTATCCAATGGAAATAACTGATCTTGGGCGGGCCAATAAAAACCCTTGTATTTGGAGCGGGGGAAAAAAGCCCGGTTCCTGGAGAGCTATATTCGTCCTCACACGTCCTTCAGTTTGTATTTTAGTGTTATCAAAGAACGTTGCCGTAATGGACATGGACATTCGAGACACTGAATTCATTGAAAATTCCGAAGAAATACCAGATGACGAGTGCCCATGACCCCACATGGAGGAGTTGTTCTTATACAGAGGAAGGAAAGGAGACGTTTTATAGAAACTTTGTTTCTGCAGTGATATGTGATAGTTCAGTTGTTTTTGTTTTTAAAGTTGGGTAGACCTCACGATAATTTGACTAAAAACATCACCGAAAACCGAAAAAGGGGAAACCAAGGCCGAAAACCGAAACACCGAAAGAAATTATGCCAATTATTAGTATCATTGCATTTATGGCTATGACTGTGTACAAACTTTACTAAAATCAAGGCATTGCAATTGCATAAATTAATATAAAATTTTCAAAGAATAAATCAATTACAAATATTTATTTAGCACAATGCACAGTATAAAATAAAATTCAAACTAAAATGTTTTTGACCCCACTCATGTGTACATTAAATAATAATATGGCCTGCAGAAAGGTTTTAAAATTAAATGTTCTCTCATAAAAACAAAGTCAGCCATGACCCACTGGCATAACAGTGTAACTGCACTGATTGTCAGTCTGTCTAGATGGCACATTTGTGTCAGTGCTAAATGCTGATAACTTTTGAAACTTTTGAAATATTAGTAGGGTACTTTTGGAAATCTTTATTGTAAAAAAAAAAAAAAAAAAAAAAAAAAGAAGTTTATAAATAAAATAACCCAATAAGCTTATTTATTTTGCATTATAATTCATTAATAATAATAATCATATTAGACCATTTTTATAACTTGGTTTCCATAAAAGTAAATAAATATCACAGGCTAAAAGTAATTAGTAATTAGTACTTGAGTAGTTTTTGAGAGGGGTACTTTGTACTTTTACTTAAGTACATTTTTAACACCAGTACTTTTGCTTGTAATCGAGTATTATTTTAGCAACTACTTGTACTTGTACTTGAGTACAAATTTTCAGTACTCTTTCCACCTCTGCTAGTATCAAGTCGGACCCTTTTTGCCTTCAGAACTGCCTTATTTCTTCATGGCATAGTTTAAAAAAATGTTGCTCTATATTACAATATAATCACACAGTTGCAACAGATTTGTCAGCTGATGTGAATCTCCCTTTCCTCCACATCCCAAAGTTCCTCTATTGGATTGAAAATCTGCTGACTGTGGAGGCTGTTTGAGTTTAGTGAACTCACTGTCCTGTTCAAGAAACCAGTTTGAAATGATTTGAGCTTTGTGACATGCATTATCCTGCTGGAAGTACTGTATATTCATCAAAAGCACTGTGGTCATAAAGAGATGGACATGGTCAGCAATATTCAGGTTGGCTGTGGCCAAAAAATCCCTCACACAACAGCACCACCATCCTGAACTGGTGTTACAAAGTGGTATGGATCCATGATTTCATGTTGTTCCCCTGAATGTGGGAGCAGAAATCGACACCAATGTTTTTTTTTCCAATCCCCTATTGTTCAATTTTGCGAGCCCGCAACCTCATTTTACTATTCTTAGCTGACAGGAGTGGCACCCGGTGTGTCTTCTCCTGCTTACACAGGTGTACCAAATGTAATAATAATAATAATAATAATAATACATTTTATTTGTAATGCACCTTTCTCAGACTCAAAACGCTACAGTACAGAACAAAATAATCAAACATGAGAGTAAAAATATATATAGATGCATCAAAAAATACAAAAAAGAATACAATTATAAATTGAAAGCTTGACTAAAAAAACAATCCAGAGAATCAGCATCCTTTAGTTGTAGGTAATGTGTTTCATAGCTTTGGCGCGTTGTATGAAAAGGCCCTTACCCACATATTAATTGAATTTACAACAAGGCTAGCCAGAGAGAGAGAGAGCCAGCAGAGCGGAGAGAGCGAGCGGGAATGGATGGAGTAATTAAATCACAGATGTATTTTGGAGCCAAGCCATGTACTGCTCTATAGGTTAAAATCAGAATTTTAAAATCAATACGTAGCTGAACTGGAAGCCAATGCAGTTGCTGGAGCACAGGTGTAATTTGATGGCGTGAGACCCAATTTTGTATATTTGCAACCTCCTAATAGAATTTGCTGGTAAAGCCGCAAAGAGAGAGTTACAATAATCAAGCCTTGATGTGATGAAGGGATGGATAATCTGCATCAGGCCTAGAGAGACATGGTCTAATATGTGCATAATAATAATCTTCGTTGTGTTTTTAAAATGTGAATTAAAAGCTAGCTGGGCATCAAGGCCAGAAGGGGACATTTGGGTATTGTCAACTGAAAGTTTAAAATCCTTACATTTACTGACATTAATTGGAGTGCCGAATAATAAAATTTCCGTTTTGGAGCAGTTTAATTTTAGATGTTGAGTTACATCCATGCTTTAATTTCCAACAAACAGTCAGAAAGGTTTGAAGAGGAAGAATTAAGATCAGGCTGAGAGCTGATATAAATCTGTGTGTCGTCTGAATTTAACAGCGAAAGCTCAAAGTCATTCCGAATTATCTGACCAAGTGCCAGCATATAAACACTAAATAAAACAGGACCCAAAACTGAGCCCTGAGGGACAGTCTGAGATCTGTTAGAACCCAGGAAGACAAATTGGGAACGATTTGAGAGGTAAGATTTAACACGTTCCAGACAGACCGGTCCACAAATGCAATCTGTCCAATAATATGCTGTGACATATGGTATATACCATATGGTATGGTATATAGGTATATCTGAGTGTTTGTACTTCATCTATGTTTTTTTGGAGCTTGACAGACATGGCATGAAGTGCTGTTTTATTAAAAAAGGAGGTAACACTTTACAATAATGACTCATTTGTTAACATTAGCTAATGCGTTCACTAAAATTAACTAACAACGAGCAATGCATTTGTTACAGTATTTATTATTCTTTGTTAGTGTTAGTTAATAAAAACCAAGCTGTTTGTTGTTTGTTCATTTTAGGTCAGTGCATTACCTAATGTTAACAAATACTAAATTTAATGGAATCATTTATTAGTAAATTTTGATATTAACATTAACCAATATTAATCAATGCAGTAGAGCTTTTGTTAATGCTTAGTTACAACAAAAGTATTTAACTAATGAAACCCATTGTAAAGTGTTCCCAAAAAGGACTCATTTTCGGTACAACATAAACAATATTAGCATTAAAAGAAAATTAGAAAAGGTAATGACACAACTTTCGTTTTGGGGGGAACAAGCTTAATTCTAATAGCCTAATGTAACAAACACTTTACAATAAGGTTCATTAGTTAACATGTACAATATGCGAACAATTACTTCTTCAGCATTTATTAATCTTAGTTAATATTAATTCCAACATTTACTAATACGTTATTAAAATCAAAGGTTGTATTATTAGTTAACATTGGTTAATGGACTGTGAACTAACATGAACGCACAATGAACAGCTGTATTTGTATTAACTAACATTAATAAACACTGTAACTAATGCATTGCTCATCGTTAGTTCATGTTGGTTAATGCATTTACTAATGTTAACTAATGAACCTTATTGTAAAGTGTTACCATTATATTTTTCACTATTAAGTTCACAGCCTACTGAAAACCATTGCTGACCGTTTTGGATCAAATACAGCAGTCTTTTAATCAGGTATTTACCCTATATTTACATGACATATATACAGGACAATATAATGATAAATAAACAACCAAGCTGCAAATTATCAATACTATCAATAAGGCTATCTAGGAAACTGCCACAATAATGAGTTTTCAATACGTCATTTTCAGTTAAAGTTTCTTCTAGTTTCTTTTTCTAAGACGTGGTTTCGTTTTTTTGTCTTTATTTTTTTACTTGAAGGCCAAGTGATGCACGAGCAATTAATGAAAAACGTTTTTTTTTTTTTTTAGCCAAGCAATTCAATTTAGTAGTTGTAGAGTCCACACTGCAATGCTAAACCTCAACATAATATCTGCAATAACATATGCAATAACACTGTTCATGTTTGCCAAACATATAAATGTATTTTGTCCCCGTGATGTTCCTCAACTTACCGCTTGCTCTGGCAATAGTAGGCTGATAAGCGGCCGTCATTAAAATCAATATAACCATAATATGCATGTCCACTTGTCCCGGTGAATTCAGAAGTAACGCAGAAGTGTAAATCCTCACGTAGGCTATGTGTATCAAATCGCACCTCAGGCAGAGAGCAGCTATATATTTGTGTTTGAAAGGAAACGTCAATTTCTGCCCACACCATCTTTCACTTTCACTTCGGGGGCGCGCCCGTGCGAACTGCGCGATTGCAGTTCCTGCAGGAAATAGCAGAGCTTAGCTCACAAGGCACTTGAGATTTAAATGAACTTGAATACTACACAGTTAAGGGCAAGTATATGTTTTATCTAATGGTGTGTGTGTGTGTGTAGCCTACTGTAAACGAACGCCAACACAATGCTGCTGTCACGCGAACGTGCCGCTGTCACGACGCTCAGTGAACGTCTTTTCTCAATAGCTTCAATTTAAGGCGAGATTGTGAAATAGCAATTGTAAAAAAAGGACCAATCACAATTCATTATGCAAGTAGCTACACGAGAAAAGGAGAATCCCAAGTTACGTGTGTAGGGAATTCATTAACAAAGGCTTTCGAAATCCACTTATGTCGTCCACTATAGCTAATAAACTACTAACATTTGGTTCTTTAACGGACAGCTCTAGAGTCACCATTAAGTTAGAGTTGCCTACGTGCATCCTTACAGACAGACAGCAACATGTGTTGGCTTCGTTGTTGTCTGGGCTGTCACCAATAGTCCTCTTAATCATCACAGTTCCTCAAAGTCCTCAACGGAAGCTGCTATTTTGAACCTAGAGTCAAAGGGCAGTTGAAGGATGACGTGCATAATTCAAATATTAATCTGACTCCAATAATTCAAAAAAGTAAAAAAAATAAAAAATAAAAAAAACTTTTGCTGATAATTTACTCACCCCCATGTCATCCAAGATGTCCACGTCTTTCTTTCTTCGGTCAAAAAGAAATTAAGGGATTCCTGGATTTTTCTCCATATAATGGGCTTCAATGGGAACCAAATGGCTCAAGGTCAAATAGACAGTTTCAGTGCAAACTGCAAACTGTTCAAAGGGCTTTAAACGGTTTCAGAAGATGAATAAGGGTTTTATCAAGCGAAATGATCGCTCATTTAAAAATAAAGTTTAAGTTTTATAAGCTCAAATGCAACAAACGAAATGAACGAGTTGACTCGGGAAAAGATTTGTTCATTTTGATGAACGAGTTCGAACAGGAGAGTCACGAACGCGCATCACACCCTAACTCTAACAGAGCAAGGCGACCATTTGAGCTTATAAAACTTAAACTTTTTTTTTTTTAATGAGCGATCATTTCGCTTAATAAGACCCTTATTCATCGTCTTCGAACAGTTTGTACTGAAACCTTGGACCGTTTGGTTCCCATTGAAGTCCATTATATGGAGAAAAATCCTGGAATGTTTTCATCAAAAACCTTAATTTCTTTTCGACTGAAGAAAGAATGACATGGATATCTTGGATGACATGGGGGTGAGTAAATGATCAGCAATTTTTTTTTTAAAGTGAACAACCCCTTTAACCTCATATTCTTTAAATGTAAAGGTCTTTGATAGGAAACGTAGGAATCAACAATTACCCTTCTTATACCCTGAGCAAAGCAGTGAGTGGAATACCAAAACAGAAACCGACCAACAGGAAACCAAAAGATGACGCAAATTGGTGGTAATCAAGAGGTGGTAATCACTACCATTCATTTCAGTGTACAAACTGTAAGTTGAGACCAAACATGACATAATTACACATTAGAACATACTTGTAAATAAACAGTAGTTGAAAGCATATGTCCTGCATGTGAACCGAATGGTACAGACGTGGCATTGAGGTGCAAATGACTCTGTCTCTCTCAACAGAACCATCCCGTGCCTAGAGTGTCCCAACAGTCCTCAATCAGGAGTCTGATGACGTAAGACGCTGCTAATGTGTAATCCGATGCCTCCTAGCTTCGTTTACAGTCTGAGGGAGACGCACACTGTAAACAAAACAATATTCACAAACAACACAAAAGACTTGTATTTCTTTGCCCAGCCATATTTATTTGAACCCAAATACACGGACGAACCAGATATCGGTCAGCAGCGTCTTACGTCATCAGCGTCACTGAAGCGGATTGACAACAGAACGGGAAGTCGTAGTTTTTGTTATTTTTGGACCAAAATGTGTTTTTCATGCTTCAAAACATTCTAACTAACCCACTGATGTCTCATGGACTACTTTGATGACGTCTGTATTTCCTTTCTGGACAAGGACAGTATACAGTATTGTACATACATTTTCAATGAAGGGTCAGAAATCTCGGACTAAATCTAAAATATCTTAAACTGTGTTCGGAAGATGAGGTCTTAAGGGCTTGGGACGACATGAGGGTGAGTCATTAATGACATCATTTTCATTTTTGGGTGAAGTAGTTAGTGATAAATCAAAGCTAGCAGTAATGGATCTTTTGTCTGTGGAAAACTAATGGGAAACCCATTAGACCTTGAAGAGCAGTATAAAGATTACCCATGCATTTCTTCCCGTCTGTGTGTCTCACTCACTCCGCAGGGTAACTGCTGTGTTGGCGACTGGGCCTGTTCTTGCAAAAATAAATACTTCTCTTTTAATAAATTGATTCCGAGTTGTCTCTTACAGTATGAATTTGTTAGCCTTACTGTTATATGTGCTTCAAAATCAATGACAAAATTCGCATTTAGAGGATAAGCATTCAAAACTAACAGTCTCTCACTTCCGCCAATATGGAACAGTGATTTTGATGACATCACTCTGCACTTGCAGCCCGCCCCCCACATTATAAATTGATGCTGTAGCTGAAATTGGTAACTTGTTCTCACATTTACTGTTTTCTATGGTGAATGGCACATAGTGCACTATATAGGGGATATGGTTTGATTCAGACTGTGTAAATAGACGAATAAAGTCTGGTTATACGTTAGTCAGTCTGCTTCGGTTCAGAGACACGATAGCACAGAGCGGATCATATGCGCGAAAATGTATCAGAACCATTTGAATTCTGCACAGAAAGCTATATTAAGCAATATTAGGAGGAGAAACGATTCAAGATTAGGAGGAAACTGCGGCTTTACCGAGCTCAACAGCTCTGGGACGGTCAAAGTTATAACTTGAACTCTGAGTTGCCTTATGGAACAAAAATATATGGTAATATACTGCAGAGTATAATGTGATATTACATAATTCTAAATGGGAAACTAGTGCTTATATTTTTCAATATACTGCAATATATGCTTTGAACATGTATGGTATTGATACATAAAAGATTTAGAAATGCATTACATGTAATGTCGATAAGGTTTTATCCTTTAGCACATACATGTAAACAACACTGGCCCAGAAGCACTTCCTGTTTCAGTTTGCAACTGTTTTCTTTATTTCACGTGTAAAGAAAACATCTTACAGATGTTTGTTTAACTTTTTGATTCAGTTTTAAATGTTCTGTTGGTTGTATTTTATCCCAGCTTTTATGTAGTGTTAAAAAACTGAAACAGGAAGTGCTTCTGGACCAGTGTTGTTTACATCTTGTGAAATGGTCTATAAATGTGAATATGTACGCATTTACTGAATGACAAGCAGTGGTTACAGACTTCTAGGTCCCAGCATGCTTTGCTTCTGACTGTTAGGCTAAATGTTAGTAGTTTAATATTAAATGTAGTGCTCAATATTATATAGGGGAGAGATACTTTCGAGTCTACCACATAATAAGTTTAATTCTTAATCACTGTTATAAAAGAGGTGAAAACTGGCAGAACGGTAAGTTATTGAACTAATATTAATTTTCATGTTGCCCCACGGGTAAAAATGCAAGTGCATTTTTCACATTATGCAAATGATCTGGCTGATAATTCTACTTAAATGCAGAACTAATGTTTACACTGTAATTTAGTTATCTCTTTGATTTTTTTGTGAGCTCTTCAAATGTTTTATTTGATTCTGTTTACCCTATTGTACTCTTATTTAGATTTTTATATTATTACCTTCATGACACTTTTTATTTACGATGTTTTTTTCTTGTTCTGTTTCTGTTTAATTTTCATATGCATTATTATTTAATATTTGCATATGTACGAAAGTCAATGCAAAATTTTAATGTTAATTCAAAAATCAAGGCTCCGCACAATAATAATAAAAAAAAAAGTACTGTGAAAGAAAGAGAGATTGGTGATTTACGTGACGCGAGTGCGTTTGGCCACGGTCTGTGATGTCATCCGTCCGCGACATTACACTTGTAGCGTGATATGCTAACCTGATGCTAACCGACAGTGCTGAACGAGTAGAGCATTTATTTTCGTAAAAGGTCTGTATCTAGCTTCAGATATTTGAACAGTTAAAATGCATGAGTGGTTTAAGCTCAGACTTTAATAGTTTAGTGTATTTACATAGTACAATAAGCGTTGCAACACGTTTGGAGGTGAATGCTAAATGCATAAATAATACTTGACTGTAGTGTAAAGAACCTTGTTTTATAATTTTTTTCTAACGGAAGGTCTAACTGTAGGCCAATTTAGAATGATTTAAAATACATATAATTCACATACTTAAAATGCATAGAATTTAAAATACATATAGACGTCTAACTGGCAGCTTGTGTGATACTTTGCACACTGGAACACCGTTTATATATGTATAATCCTGTTTCATGTTTGTGTATTTCAGTGTTTTTATTTGGGAAGGAGGTAAAATGTCTTTATATGATGATTTGGGGGTCGCAACGAGCGACACTAAAACAGAAGGATGGTCTAAAAACTTTAAACTGCTTCAGTCTCAGCTGAAAGTGAAGAAAGCTGCATTAACACAAGCAAAGGTGGGTCAGTCAGTGTTTATGTTTGACAATAACATAGTGTGTCTGTCATATATTAATAACTAGAGAGAGTATAGGTGTCAATGTTTTTTTTTATCAAGTAAAACCTAAAAATATTTGGGAATTTTTTAAAAGGGTTTTCCATGGAAAAATCTGAGATGTCTTAATTTATTTTGTTTCTATTATTGGTTAGATTTATAATATTTAATTGGCTAAAAATGGGCAATTGTGAGTAATATCTCTATCATGTGTTATGTTATTTATAATATAATAAAATATAATCATGCATATATTTTTATGCATGATTATCCAGTAATCACAAATAACTCGAGAAGTTATGGAAATTAAGTCGAAAAGTGTGACCGACAAATGAAACTTCTTTTGCAGACTCAGAGGACGAGACAGTCAAATGTTCTTGCTCCAGTTATCGATCTAAAGAGGGGAAGTTCAACAGATGACAGACAGATCTCTGATACACCTCCACACATCGCTGCAGGGATGAAGGTAAACATTGTGTATAGTGCCGTCTGGTTATGGAACGTTTTAGGGGTTTTTTTTTTTGTTGTTTTTTTTTTTTTAAAGCTCTAGGTTAGGGGTAGGCGATATGAGCAAAAATTCATATCACAATATTTTTCACTGTCTGGACAATATCAATTTTATATTTTGATATGAGATTAAAAATTGGAATCACATTTTAATATACCTTAGTTAAATTACAGACAAAATATGTATTTTAACGCTATAACTAGAAAGAGGTGAAGGATTTAATTGGACATAGACCTGAAAAATCTTTTTTTAATTGTTTTTACTTCCATTTTACTTCCAAACGTGCAACATGAGGTAGGTCTGAATTCACTTATGTCTTTCCACTTTTTTTATTTTTTGGGGGTCAAACTAATTCATTCGTTAATAATACATTTTTAGTAACACTGGAGTTTGGTATATTGAATAAGTTATAATAATTTGATAATCAAAAAGTATGAATATGACTTCAGAGAGGTTTGACACTTAGGCCTTTTGAAGACGACATTATGTTAACCGAGAAGTTTTTGCATACTGACCAAAATAGAGAAGTAGGCTACATTCTGCTATTTCAGTGGTCGGAATATAATTGTTGTTTTTATTTTTTTGTTGTTGTCCATTTATCAAACGTCCACACCTCTTATATAGTATATATAATTATATATTACAATGTACAAATTTACTTATGCTTGGACACACTCGTCGCTCATGGAGTTCGCGTAGCCTTAGTCCAGTCCGGCGCCTCCTAGACAAATGCTGTGTGTGTGAGAGAGAGACACACACACACACACACACACACACATGAGTGACAGACGGAGGGAGAGCAGGGAAAGGAAATGCATAGGGTGCAAGATGTCGTTCAACTCCTTTGAGACTTTTAGGCGGGGTTAGATTGCGGTCAGGTAACTTTAATTCTTGGGCATTCGGTAAGAATAGCTACGCTAAGGCGTCAACACGGACGTTTAGAGGTAACTCAACGGAGTATAATATTATTTGGTGTCAAGGACACCCAGTTCAACCAAAGTCAGGTGCGTAGGGAAAAATCTACCAAATCTACCATCTTTCCAATCTATCTGTCGATTTCTGTCCGTTTGTTCGTCCTAGCTAGCTAAATTTGAAATGACTAAACTAAAAATTAAAAGGATTACAAACTGGAAAACTACTTCAAACTTTCTGGCTAGGCTTTTTTAAGCCAACTTTAAAGTTTGTCTTTTCAAACTTTGCTATAGTTATTATTACAGTATGATTGTCAATATTACTGAATAAAAAATATGTTAAAATAAGAAATAGCCCTATAACTCTACTCTATAATATTACTATTACAATATTTAACCCTTCGGAGTTTTGGGCTATTTTGGTCCTTTTTGAGTACTTTTTAATTTTTTTCATTTTGCGACATAAACAAACATTTACCATACCAATTTTTGGTATCATTTTTTTCAGCTATACATCACCTATATGTCCAGACAATTAGTTTATCACTTTGATGTACTGTATCAACATACTGGACCCATAATCACACAAAAAACACAAAATCCGAATAGAAATATTATAGCTTTTCTACTACAAAAAACACAAACATGCTCAATGAAGCATTTTAAAAGGTTTAAAATGTAAACACATGTTGTAAATGTCAAAATATACAGGTACAATTCAGATATAATCAAGCTATATACGTACAAAAAAAAAAAATATGATTTACAAAAAAAGTGAGTGTAGCCATAGGCTTTTTTTATTCATTTTAGCTTTGCCATAATAACAATAATACATGTATTTTACAGTTCAAGTGTAAAATTGCAATAATAATGCAGCAGCAGGTTAAAATGCACTTCTCAGTACAAGTTTATGAAGATGGTTGATGCAGATGCAGAGATGAGTTCATATGGAACAACACTGAAAACACCGGATAATTAACTGTTAAAGATCACAGTTCTGTGCTGCACCCTGAAACATGCAATTTGATTTAAGTGTTATTCAGTATTTAATTCAATTACAGCCTTTACGATTTGAAAGGTGCACTAAGCTATTGCAAGATTTCTGTTTGATCTTGATTCATCTTCCAGCCCCTCTGGCACCTCTTAGCTATGCTTTTAAAAAGTTGACATCAGCATTTGATCTGTTAAAATCACAACCCTTCCTCCCAGTAATGTTACATTAAAAACATTAATGAGGATTTCTCACTAAGTGGTTCATTTCTTAGACCATTAAGTTTAATTGTCTGTCTGTGTGTGTCCATTTTAGGACTCTGTGTCTGCTGGGTTTTCATCCGGAGATGTGCTGATTCCATTGGCTGACGAGTATGACCCCATGTTTCCCAACGATTATGAGAAAGTGGTGAAGAGACACAGGGAGGAACGACAAAGACAGAGAGAGCAGGAGCGGCAGAAGGAGATTGAGGAGAGAGAGAAGTATGCACCATCCACTATTGAAGAAAAATGCGATAACTCGTTAAATAATGTGATTTGCAATAATGCTTTGTGTGTAAAATAAATTTATTTTGATTTAAATATTAGGGCTGTCAAATGATTAATCGCGATTAATCGCATCCAAAATAAAAGTTTGTGTTTACATAATATATGTGGGTGCACTGTGTAAAATTATTTTATATATATATATATTAGTGCTGTCAAGCGATTAAAATATTTAATTGCGATTAATCGCATTAATGTCAGTTAACTCGCGATTAATCGCACATTTTTATCTATTCTAAATGTCTTTTGATTTCTTTTTGTTTCATGATTTTTTTCTCATTTTAATGCTCTTATCAACATGGAAATGTGTGTATATATATATATATATATATATATATATATATATACAAAATAATTATACACAGTGCACCCACATATATTATGTAAACACAAACTTTTATTTTGGATGCGATTAATCATTTGAAAGCCCTATTAAATATATTTAAAAACTGAAAATGACATAACCAATATACATGTTTTACATTCTATTTTTAAGAGAAGAAAGCATCTCTACAACTACTGAAAGTCAACAACAGTGTTTTACTGTAGCGTTACATAAAAAGTAAGTGTCATTTTAACGTCAGTGCAAACGCAGGGTTTAAGGTAGGCCTACATTAGGGTTTTTTTAACGACAGAAATTGAAAATGTAAAAGTAAAACCGCTTCACTATATGAATTAAATATAGACTGATTCATATTAAAGCTACAAATTGTATTCAGTCAAGAGCAGCGAGTGATTTTCTCTTAAGTCTGTCTGTGAGAAGCAGGTTTGTTATGCTGCAGTCACTTTAAGAGCTGCACGGATCCAATATAGTGTTAAATGCACGCTTTTTTAACTGTTTACTCCACTTGCTAAATAATTGATTATTTTTACGTTAATACTCAACAAGATGCCGTTTTGACATAATGTTGTGAGAATTTGGTCATATAAACTGTGGAATAGAACTGAAATCAGTATTACGCCGTCTGACGCGTGTGTAGGCATTGTCAGATGTATGTAACAGTCATGTGTCTAGTCTATTCTCTTCCAACTGCATCAACCTAAAACAATCTTTTGAAGTATTAAAACCATTCAGTTATTGTTAGCCATTGCGATATGGATATCGCGATATGTAGATTTGCGGTATTCCGATAATTTAGATAAATCATGCAGAAGGGCTGCACGATTAATCGAATTTCTAATCGCAATATGATTACGGATGCCACAATTACGTAATCGTTCAAATCAATTACAAAATAAAAGTCCACTTGTATTATTCTGCGTGCTTAAGAGGTGTGTTTAGCATGTTACAATGTAAAAGGGGAAATCACGAGTACTTCAGAGAACCCAGCCCAATGGGAACTGTCATGAATGTAAGTGTTCCCTGGTTGGCCCAATACACGCGAAACACCTGCACCCGCCATTTTTAAAAAGCCATGCACACACCCCATTTACTTTTTAAAAGTATAAAAGTAACAATAAAGCTTATTGTTAAACCGATTGTAAACTAGTGAAGACGGAGAATGGGAGTAGTGTGTGCTCTGGCGTTCTCAGCGCCTTCAAAATAAAAGTCACTAAAACAGGGCGGCTTACGTCATTTTAGAGTTCCTACTGGAAAACAGGAAAACAGCCAAAGGGGAACATTAGTTCGCTGGGAACTAGTTCCTATGACCACCCAGTGTAAAAGCCCCTATTATTAAACCATGCATATTTTTCCTTTTTTTTTTTAAGAAGAAACCAAACCATTGTTTAGTTGACATTTGAGGGTTTTGAAGTTGAAGTTTTCCAGGAAGAGTGTTTCCTGCTTGTTTTTTTTATTTTGGCATGAAGTTGCTTCAAACTATGGTCTGATGCTATTCAAAACATCATGTGCTTCTTTAAATGCCCAAACTTTTTAAAGCATGATGGGTTCTTCTGATTGGCTGTCGCTTTGTAATTTATCAGCTGGAAAAATCATTCTGATAGGGATTCCAACTTTATTGTTGTTCTCACGTAATTAGAACAATTATTAAAGCACACAATTCCAATCAGTTTTTCCAATTGAGCCAGAGCAGATGGTTCGGAACAGGTTTGTAAAAATCAGGATATTTTTGCTGTTCAGATTACACAAAATTAAATGTATTTGATACTTTTTTTCCCCTTAAAATCTTATTTTTGCTGCCTGTCTGAACACAGCCTTAAACATTTGCCTGATCTGCACAGATCAGTGTTGTTTTGTTGTCCATTGTGTTGACCATTTTGCCCTTGTCTGTCAGGAAACGTAAAGAGAGGCATGAAGGAGGGGGAGCTCCAAGCGGATTTTCACGTTTCCCGAATCCCGAAGGCGAATCAGATGAGGAGGAGGATTTTGAGAGAGAAAAGAGGAAGAGGAGTGAGTTCCCAATGAGACATTTCTTCATCTTAATTTCTTTTATATCGGATTGATTGTATATTGACAATTGTGATTTAGATTATCCATGTTTAAAGCTACACTGTGTAGCTCTTTTAGTTTATTCCTAGCCAAAATCACTTGGTTCTTTCAAAAATATATGTGCTCATTAATGTATATTTACTAGGGGTGTAACGGTACATGTATTCGTATTGAACCGTTTCGGTTCGAGGCTTCCGGTTCGGTACGCATACAAACCGAACGATTGCTTGGACCATTTTATTTTTCTTGCCGGCAAAATTTGTGCTGACGCGGCCAACACAACGTTGCGCAACATCCAAATGGCAAGGGTAATGAAAGCAGAACGAAACTGCGCTCCTCGTTATGTGCTTCACGGATCGTTTATCAGTTCGGACCAGCAACATCTGTGCAGCGCGAGCCGATCTCCATCAAGCAACACTGTTACTACACAGCGCTAAGAGATCCGGTAAAGAAAACATTTGAATTCGCCACTGAGGTAATAACATCGCTGCGAGATCTAGTGAGATGCATTCACATTTCTCCGTTATTAACCGCAGATCTCTATTAGATCAAACAGCGCTGTCATGGAAACCAGGAGAAACATTGTGCCGTGAATGAACTAGTACTTTGCGTCCACAGCAACATTCACCATGGATTTAATATAGTAACACTAACTGGAGCCAGTTTGGCTGGAATGGTGAAATGCTTTCAAGTACTTCACACATCTTTTTCCAGCACTTCAAAATTCAAATATTATATAAATAAATATATATTTAAATGTTATTTTTAATGTGATGACCAAAACATTATTTGTTCACCCTTCAAAGATGACCCCTATTTATAAACCTGAAAGTTTCAAGATCTAGGAAAACTCACACTTATTTAAAAATATTTTTTCTTTAAACAAATAGGGCATTTCTTTCTTTTTGCTGTATCGAAAACGTACCGAACCGTGACTTTAAAACCGAGGTACGTACCGAACCGTGATTTTTGTGTACCGTTACACCCCTAATATTTACTAAGTTCAAGTAATAAAGTATTCTCGTGAGTGTATAATATGCCATTGAAAATACATACGGGTAAGGGGTTCTAATGTCGGTCGCCATGTTGCCCCTCCATCTTGAAAGTACATTAGCCAAAGAGGGACATACCCGTTAATTCAAGCTTCGTTTGAGTTAACACTCATGGACGAGGTTGAACACTGCATTGGCCACCGTAGGAGTTAAAACGAAATCGGAATTGAGAGGAACGGAAACTAATATTCACTGGATGGTCATATACCTTTTCACCGCTAGATGGGGGTAAAAATCACACAGTGTAGCTTTAAACAAGGGCCCTTGGTATAATCCTCTGTGTGGTTATAAGATTTCGTTTATATGGCATACAGGTATGGGTGGAGCTGCCATCGCCCCTCCGACATCACTAATGGATCGAGAATGTAAGTACATCCCATAGACCTTTTAAGAACCTTTATTTGCACATTTGAAATCAATATACACTGATGGGTCAAAACTGACCAGTCACAGGTGAAGCAAATATCATTGATCATCTCCTAACAAAGTCGCGTATTAAAGGGTTAGTTCACCCAAAAATGAAAATTCTGTCAGTATTTACTCACCCTCATGTTGTTCCAACCCCGTAAGACCTTCGTTCATCTTCATAACACAAATTAAGATATTTAGGATATTAAAATCGCTCCTGCATACTAGTCCATAAGCTTCTTGAGGGACTGGCTCTTGCTGGCCTCGAAAAGTAATTGAAGACATCGTTAAAATAGTCCAAGTGACTACAGGGGCTCAATCTTAAGTTTATCAAACGACGAGAACACTTTTGTGCGCAAAAAAACAACAAAAATAACGACTTTATTTCAACTATTCGTTTATTTCTCCCTCTGCGCGAGTCAGGTTACTAGTTTAACAGCGTAAGCTTCTGTTATTGTACGTCACACGCATCACACACACATGACCAGCGTCGGCCAATAGTGAGCCTACGTGTGACGTAGCTCTACGCAATCACACTACGTTAACTGACTACAGGCCCGTAGAGAAGGAAGTGAATAGTTGAAATAAAGTCGTTATTTTGTTGTTTTTTTTGCGCACAAAAGTGTTCTCGTCGTTTGATAAACTTAAGATTGAGCCCCTGTAGTCACTTGGACTATTTTAACGATGTCTTCAATTACTTTTCGAGGCCAGCAAGAGCCAGTCCCTCAAGAAGCTTATGGACTAGTATGCAGGAGCGATTTTAATATCCTAAATATCTTAATTTGTGTTATGAAGATGAACGAAGGTCTTACGGGGTTGGAACAACATGAGGGTGAGTAAATACTGACAGAATTTTCATTTTTGGGTGAACTAACCCTTTAAGGTCTGGGTAGATTAAATGGTAAGCAAACAATCCGTACTTGTGAACAGCGTGTTGGATGCAGGAATAAAGATCTGATCTGCATCCTGCCACACTGCACAAATTGTTCAGGAATGGTTTGAGGAACATGATGAAGAGTGTAGCTCTGGTCTCCAAATCCACTTAAGGGATCTGCTGATTGGTGCCAGATACCGCAGGACACATTCACGGGTCTTGTAGCGTCCATGCATCAGCGGGTCGGCGATGTTTTGGAAGCGCTCAGAGAACCAACATCATATGGTCATAATGTTTAGGCTCATCTGTGTATTATTTTGTGTGTTTTCACTTCAGCTTTATACAGTCATAAAGCCATATGCGGGAAATGTCAGTAAGTAACAAAACTCTGTTTGTTGTCATGACAGCATCATATTCATATGACGAAGATGGTCGCCAGAGGTCGAAAGCTGCTATCCCACCTCCTGTGTTTGATGACTTGGATAGACCACGATCTCCCCCTGGACCAACTAATTCATTCCTGGCCAACATGGGGTAAGAGTCCTTACATGCACTCAGAAACTCATGAAGTCATTATGATTTATAAATGTTATTGCTGCACTGATTTGATAAACGCTTTGGTTTACAGCAGAGAATTTAGATTTCCACAACATTTTGATCCACAGCGACTTTTTGGGGGTTTCTAACGCAGTTTGGAAAAGTATGGAATTTGATTTGAGTAATTTCCAGGTCTGGAAAAGTATGGAAAAAATAAAGTAGAGTATGGAAAAATATTTGCATATCCATACGATTGACCCTATTTAGTTTTCTATAATAGAAAACTAAGAATTTAATGAAAATAAATGGATCATACAAGAAGTGTTTTCATGGTAGTTGTTGTGCTTCCATGGTGATTGTCAAAAATGATTGCACTTTTTCATTACGCAAAAACGCAGGTTATAAGTGCATTGGGTTTCTCTCATGATACTCTAGCATTCTTACAGAGCCACTAAAAGGATTTTTGCAAATATATATATTATGCAGACTTTCATGTGTGCATGAGAAACCATTCAACTTGGCATAGACAAAGCACACTGAGCCACCTATTACACCATTAGCCCATTTCCCTATGTGGTTTCTTGTTTGCCATAGAGTATGTGTTGAAGCAGACCTAAGGCCTTGAAATAGGGTAATGTACTGCCTTAATGAAAGCCAAATTTTGACCACTCTCTTTTTTTAAGCACCAGTGTTTTTATAGACCCTTGAACTTTGCAAATAGGACAGTGTACGCAGCAATATTGTGCCATCAGCCCATTTCGTGTCATGGTTTCTCTGCTGCCACAAAGGAGGCATTAAGTTGGACATTAGGCCTTGATATTAGAGGTACTACCCCAAAGAAAGCCAAATTTTGAGCAAACAGGCCTATATTTCTATTAATTCATGTACATATTTGCTCTTTTTCTCCATAGATTAGGTTATAGTATATAAAACTGGAAATTGTAATGCGTAATTGTAAATTGTAAGCATGCAAAATTGACGTGAATAGTTTCTCGGGGGCATGATGAAGTTTCTTGTGTGCATGCATGTCTGTATATATACACTGTTGTGCAAAAGTCTTTGGCTCTTTAGTATTTTCATCCCCCCAAAATAGTTTTAAGGCAGTTATTTATATACTTTGCTGTAGCGTGTCAGCTTGCATTTCGAAACATCATTTTGCCATTAATGGTAATAATCCATTGATTATTACTTTTTCTTTGCACAAGGAGTGACCAGAGCCGGTATGATCTGATCTCTCCATCTTCGAGTCTGTCTGTGATTACATGAAGAAACAGAAAAAAATCTGAGACAGACTAAACCCAGAAGAACTGCAGGAATGTCTCTAAAATGCTGTAAAGTGAGGATGCTTTCCAAAATAATGTCATAAATAGATTTTATTTTTTGTCAATTAGCTTCTATAAACTGAATCTGTGTCTTGGAGACAAAGCAGCAGTTCTTCTAGATTTAGTAGTTTTTTCTGTTCCTTTGTGTAATCAGTTGGACTCGATTATAATGAGATCTGATCTCCGTGTGGAGCATACTGGCTGTTGTCAGACTCCTTATGCATATACAAATCTCACTGGGTTATTACAGTGCCAAAATATATGTTTGGAAGTGTAAACGGATATTTCCCACTGACACTACAGCAAAAGATATAAATAACTGTCTTAAACCCATTTTTTTAGGTTCAGAGATCTACAACAAACACTTTCATTTTCTCATAATATACATTGTACATCACATTTTTAAATGATTCTCAAACGAATTGTCCGATGACTCAGTCTCTTTAAATCCCCCCTTTCCACGAGCCTGCCCTGCTCTGATTGGCCAGACGGCCCAGTCTGGTGTGATTGGTCGATCGCTTAGCAGCGCTTGTCGGAAGCTAAACGCCCATTACCGTAACTGAACTTCAGCTCCGGATGCTTCCTCAGTCCTCAGCGAAACTCTGAAGACTGTAACTATGATGTTGATTTTACTGTATCAATTCGAGCGCGAGTCTGATAATGAAACATTGGAAGAACTGGTTATTCAACCTGAATCTCCATCGCGAGGACGACTCGAGCAGGACTCAGTGTTTCTCAGTGATGCGCTAATCAGTTCGAGGAACATTGAGATGTAGCAGCTGTTCCTCACCATAAACATTAACAAATGTATGTCCATCAACAAACTGATAATATTTCTAATTTATTGTGGTGCACGTGTGAACCGTATCATTGACTGTATTAATAATAGTGCATATTAGGGGTGGAGCCGAATCCGAATACGTTATTCGGAAAGGTACAAATAATGTGTTTTTTACGAATACTTATTCCGAACAAATACTTAAAAAAATATTTGTATTCGGGAACAAGAAATACTTTATATCAAAAAGCTGCGTTCCTCACGAGACGCGAGTTGAGTGACTTGAGTCAGTGCGCGAGTTGAGTGAGTGACGTTCAGGAAGAGGTGACTGACACAGGCTGCTCCACACAGCAACAGAGAGGGCTCGGCTGAGCGAAAAAAACACTTAACTGCATCACTATTTTTGTTTAATAGATGTTTGTACCTTAACTATGTTCCGGTGGCAGTTTATAACTTTCGGGAAGCGGAGTTTGATCGGGAGTATATTCCATTATTGACGTCTGCAGACGGGTGCTTTCATGTTCGCTCTGTTTACGTAGCTCTGTTAGCTCGGTAACGGTAATTATTTGTTTCATGGCTTGATTGAATTCCAATGTAGAATGCGGTCTGTTATTATAACAGGCCGCTGCTTATAAGTATAACACACCGTTGCTATGAAAAACAGAGCGTTGCCATGGATTCTAAACGTAGAGACAGAACGGACTATTTTTCTTTTTTTAGCGGGAGCGATACAATCGTTTTTTAAATCAATAAACTCCTTTTTATATCCATATTTTGAGTCAAATTATTGATTTATTTGGTAGGTAGCCATGTAATAAGCGGGGTAATGTAGAGCGAGGCGTTGTTATAGCGAAAACCCTTCAGGCTTCGCGTCGGGCTCATAATCAACCTCCTCACTATAAATTATCCATATAACTTATTCTGTCTGCACAGCGTCCTCCACCGTGGTGTTGGGGTTCATAATGTTCACAATTGTATTTTATTAGTTGTTGGTTTAACCATGGTTCATGAGGTAATGGCTGACTGTTATTTTCTTTTCAATGACTTTTCTTGTTACAAGTTCATTGGTGGATTTATAGAAAAAATCAACCAATATTGCATATCCATAATTATTATAATGGATATAATTAAAGAATCCATACACTATAAAGTAGGCCTATTTTTAAAGATTTTTATGCCTATTTTGAATTTTACTCGAATACAAATACAAATACAAATACTTTTCCTCCCTGAACAAATACAAATACAAATAGCGGCTGCTTTGCACACCCCTAGTGCATATGTTAGCCGAATGACAATATATACAATATAGTTGTGGGCATTTGGCAAATGTGTTATGGTGCGTTCACACCGGACGCGAATAGCGCGTCAGGCGCGAATGATTTCAATGTTAAGTCAATGCAAAGACGCGTTATGCACGTAAAAAATTCCTGCGGCGCGAATGAGGCGTTGAGCCTGGCGCTGAAGACGTGAATACGCCTCTTTCGCGCGTCAAGTTCGCGCAAATGGCGCGAATTGACCGTCTGGCGCGTTAAGCGTGTTACGCGCAATTATTTAGTTAGTGCTATTTGTGTATTCACGCGTTTAACGCGAATTCGCGTCTGCCGCCCGAGTTGAAAAATCTGAACTTTGGGCATCAATTCGCGCCGCATTAACCAATCAGGAGCCTAGCTGCTTGCTCGTGTGGTGAAGTATCTGGATGCTTCAATAAATTATTTTGTAATATGACTAAATGCATGGTGGGTTTCTTGCACAACAAAGCAAATATTTTATCACTTAAAACTTTATTTCTATATACGAGACATGTTCATTTTGTATTAAACGTTATTTATTCCATATCTAGATTATATGAAATATTATTATGATGTAATGTAAAGACAACCGACATACATGTGCATAAGTTCGTGTCAGGACGTGAGAGAGAAAATAATCACAGGACAGGTTAATAACTTTTGGAAGCTGGCTCTATTTATCATCAAAACAAAAATAAATGACATCTAGATTAGATGGATGAGGGCGAGGGTGATCCTCGCTCCGATGCGGGACAACAGGTCATCAAACTGGGCGCGTGACAAGCGGAAGTACCGCTGACAGCGGCCAACATCCAGCGCAGCACATTTGGAGTGAGCAAATGGTGAAACTCGCCAAACGGTTCACTTCCGAAGGGTCCGGTGGACACAAATATACGGCGACGATGAACCCCACGCTGCTGTTCTGCTCTCCAGAGCAAATACAGAGCGGTGACTCTCGATGAATGCTCGGTCGACATAAAAACAATGGCCGCCAACAACTAGATTTCGATTCTTTACAGTTTCACTCTTGACACGCGAATTAACACAAAGTGGTCAAGCGTCAAACTAAAAGCGTAAGGCGCGAATTTGACGCGCTTTTCGCGTTCAGTGTGAACGCAGCATTACCCAGTGACGTGTAGCCGTCACTGAATTAAGATTTCAACTTCCTGACGACTTGTTTAGGCGGTTCAGAGTCGATTCTTTCTGTTGAGAAACAATAACTTAATTTATCGTGTGCACTTTCGTCTTCATATCTTTGCAGAAAGCTGCATTACACATTGCATGAAAGGGAATATCTAAAAAGCATAATAGGGGCACTTTAAATATGGTCTGAAAATCTACAGAGAGGTTTGGAAATTTGAGTCTGGAATTTTTAAGTGGAAAATGTGTAGGAATAATTTAAGATTTGTTTAAAAAAAATTAAGATTTTGGTTTCCCCCCCCAAAATTTTTTTTCAACCAAAGAATCTAAATGTTACTAGAAATAAGGATATGTAAGAAATAGTTAATTTGAATTTAATCTAGATTATTTTAATTTTTAACAAGAACAATTGTATCATTAAATTTAGCTAAAGCGTTTAGATTTAATCAGAACTTTTAACCAATAATATTTATTTATTATTTTTAATGATATGTATTTTCATTCTATTATGCAAATAATACATTTAATTTATTAAAGAGTTTAGGTTTAACAATAAACATTAATATTTAATATAAATGAAGATTTAATCAATTAATAGATTTCCAAATGACTTATTTTAAAGAAATTACATTTTAAATCTGTCATTTAAAGTCTAGTGTCTGTCTGTGTGTTTTTCAGGGGTACCGTGGCTCATAAGATCATGCAGAAGTATGGATTCCGAGAAGGACAGGGTCTGGGGAAACACGAGCAGGGCTTGAGCACGGCGCTGTCAGTGGAGAAAACCAGCAAGCGTGGGGGCAAGATTATTATTGGAGACTCAGCGGAAAAGAGTGAGATCACACACACACACCCACACACAAACCCAGCAACCACATCACGTCAAGGATTCTTGTTTTTTTTTTTTTTTAATGTTCCTTTTTATTGTTGCAAGTGTCATGTTTGTTTTCAATTAAATGTGTTGTCATTTGCACAGCCATGTACCCACTGTGTGAGTGTATCATTTGGTTCATTCACATTTGTTTGTTTGTTTCAGCATCAGCGTCCAGTCAGAATTTGGCTGATCCACATGGCTCTAATTCAGGTTCGGTTTGATTTTATTTCCTTTTCCCATATCAAGCATTGACTTACAACAGTTGTTCTTTTTTTACCTGTATGACATGCATCACACGCACACATCTGTGCTCTATTAGTCACTAGGAAACAGAATCTCATGCCTGTTATGTAAACAGTGGCAACAGTAAATTCCCTAACACGGGCAAACGGGTGTTATAGGGAAGGATAGTCAGATGTCCTTTCATAGTGTTATCTGTTCAGGATTTTTATATATTTCCTTCTCTCTCTTTTTTTTTAATCATTTGAACGTCTTTTTAACCAAACAGCCATTAAATTCATGTTTAATGCAAGATGTAAAATACAGTAAAAACGCAAAGGAAGCATCACATTTAATCATTCTCATTTATATGCACCAGTATAACGATACGTTGTCATGTACAGCAATGTTTACATGCATATACGCTACCATTCAAAGGTTTGGGGTCAGTGAAAATTATTTCTTGAAATACATTTTTAATTTTTTCAGCAAGGATGCATTAAAATGTTCAAATGTGACTATTATTTTCCATTTCAAATAAATGCTGTACTTTTGAACTTTGTTCACCTTGGAGTGCTAGAAACCTCTAAATAAATGTTACATTGTATATATTGTTATTATGATAAAAAAAAAAGATATTAAGATATTTTTATTGGGGAGCAAATCAGCATGTTTTAATGAGTGTTGAAGGATCATGTGAGACTGAAGACTGGAATAATGATGCTGAAAATTAATCTTTCCCATCAAAGGGATAAATTACATTTTCAAATATATTTAAATAGAAAAAGTCACTTTAAATTGCAATAATGTTTTTACAATTTGATTGGATTTTTAAATAAATAAATGCAGCCTTGGTGAGTACAACAGACTTCTTTTTAAAAAACTTTTTTTTACAAAAATAAAAAAGTTTTACTACCCCTAACTTTTTGAAAAAGTAGATTATATATTTAGTAATACTTTCTTCCAAACAGAAAATGAGTGACAACAGGCAACTCATTATAACAGAGTTTTGAATTGATGAATGGACATTCATTAAAAGAAGCTGAATTTTCTTTGATATGAAGTTTTGATATAAATGTAAATTGAAATATATCTGTTTCATAGCGGATCCCTCAAAGAAAAACGACACCAACCCTCTTACAGAGATTCTCAAATGTCCAACAAAGGTGGTGTTGCTGCGGGTAAGCTGTATTAATCAGTCTAAATTAAATTGAACTTCGTAAATGTGTGTTTTGGAAAGCTTTTTGAGACTAGAATGCCGATTGAGTTTGACATTAGCATGTTGCTAAGCTAATAACACAGTAGTCTAATTAGGATAATATTGCATAAAATAATTTTAATACAATACCTTTTTATTTATGTTTTTCTTTTTATTGAGACATTTAATTATTTATTGAAATATAAGTATCTCTTATCATCTTTTAAGATTTTCCACATCTTTGGATGAGTTTTATTTTTTGTGATGATACAATCCTTACAATCCGACACAGTTACGCTTCGGCTGACCAAAGTCAAGTCCCAGCAAAAAAATGTCTCTAATAAATATATAAAATAAATAAAAATTGGAAAGCAATTGTTTTTCAGTACTTCAATTATGTACTATATTACCGGAAGCCCCAATTAAGTCCTCACTTCAATACAGTGGCAGTGCAATTAATTTCTTCATTTTCATGCAATTTTTGCTCCCAGTCCTAGTTAATTTCTGCCTTCATCTGACTGTATATTAAATGAGATGCTCAGGACAATTTAGCCAATAGCATTTGTTGTTTAATCTGCTCGTAAAAACAATGTGTGTAGAACATGGTTGGAAGGGGAGAGGTGGACGAAGACCTGGAAGGCGAGACTAAAGAAGAGTGTGAGAAATATGGCAAAGTCACCAAGTGCGTCATCTTTGAGGTGAGGGTTATGTCGAGCAAGTTTTCCTTCTCGTGTATGTAAGCTGCATATGTCATCTCTCACTGACATGAAACCTGTGTGTCTGGCTTTTGTTTTCAGATCTCAGGTGTGACTGACGACGAGGCCGTCCGCATTTTCTTGGAGTTCGAACGGGTCGAATCGGCTATTAAAGGTGAGCGATTAAAGGACAAACTTTAAGTGTGTTTGTAGATGGTCTTTATTTCAAGTGCCCCAGATCTTGCTTAATAAAGCAGGTAAGTGTGTGAGGACCATCCCTAAGGTGTTAGATCATCTGGCTGGTTACATCACTTCCTCAAGGGATTGCAGACCAAACCAGTTTTCACTGACTCACTTTCAAACACTGACCGAAATATTAACAAGCTCAAAAAGGACAGTTTTACAATTAATAACTTTATTTATATATTCATATTATATTAGTTTGTGATATATGTCTCTTAAGCTCATCAAGCTTGCATTTATTTGATCAAAAATACAGGAAAAACTGTAATATTGTGAAAAATTCTTAGAATTTGTTTTATATTTTAATATACTTTAAAATATAATTTATTTGTGATGCAAAGCTGAATTTTCAGCATCATTACTCCAGTGTCACACGATCCTTCCAAAATCATTCTAATATGATGATTTATTATCAATGTTGGAAATATATATATATATATATATATATATATAGTTATATATATTTGTATTTATTTATTATTATTATTATTATTTTTTACCTGTACCACTTTTTTCAGGATTTAGGAAAAAGACCGCATTTGTTTAAAAATCTTTTGTAACAATATACACCACAGTTCAAAAGTTTGGGGTCAGTCATTTTTTTCTCTTTTTTGAAAGAAATTAATACTTTTATTCAGCAAAAAGTATTAAGCGCCACAAATATTTCCAACATTGATGATAAATAATCCTATTCGAATGATTTCTGAAGGATCATATGACACTAAAGCCTGGAGTAATGATGCTGAAAATTCAGCTTTGCATCACAGAAATAAATTATATTTTAAAGTATGTAAAATGGTAATAATATTTCACATTATACTAATATTTTTTTATCAAATAAATGCAGCCTTGAGCATAACAGACTTTTTCAAAAACAGTAATGTTAACAATAGTAAAGTTGTCTATTTATCTATCTGAAAAAGAATATGGCCATTGCACTTGTAAATTTGAGTTAAAATAATCAAGCATCTCAAACAGTTCATAGAGGACTGAACATTTTAATGACACGCTTTGAGTTTCTTTGGGATCAAAATAAAGTAAAACACACTTAAATAACAACAGAGATAACCCACACCTTTTGGGAGAAAAATTCTAATTTACAGAGACAGTAGCCCAATAAATATTATAAAGGCCTGTTCACACCGGGACGAATTTCGTGAGCGATATTAAACATTTAACGCCTCGTGACTAAACAATGGGCGCCAACGTAAGTGTTCACACAAACGCAAAAAACGCCACGCGTAAAAAAGCGTCATTTTTTAAAAAAAACGCCTCGGGTTCGTTTTTTTTGGTTTGACGCGCTGCGTCAAAAACTATCCGACCAACGAGATTGGCGGGTTTGCTCATGTGTCTGGTACTTCTGAAGTTACAGTAAAACACAACTTGGGGGCGCTAAACACAAAACGGTCTTGCCGAGCACACATACGGCGAAGAAGAGATAAGATACCTATGGGCAAGATGAATGTTGAGCTGCTGGTCTCGGAGCATAAAGAGCTATAAGATAATATTTATATTAGTATTTCTGTAATAATAGTATAGTATAGGGTGACCAACAGTCCTGTTTTCCCGGGACATGTGTAAAACGGTCACTTTGTGCTTTATAGAAATCTGAGTTGAGATGAGAACTGCGCATAGTGTGCATAATGTCAGTTAGATTTTGACAAGTGAGGAGAGGAGATAGATAACCTCTGCCGACTCTTTGTATTCTTTCTTTTATTTTATTTTTCTATTGTGACCAGATGTTTGTTTGTGTTTTTTTTCCTCGCTCGATCCCCATGTATGAGGACGAGTGTAACGTTTGAGTGGTTTTATTAAACGCGGGGAAATCCGACAACTCTCGTCTTTTATCTCTGGGCAACATCTCAACTTTGCGTTACACATGTCCTGTTTCCACGTCCTGTCCTGGATGTTTTTAAGTGATGAAAATGTCCTGGTTTTCAAAAAAACTGCTGGGAAAGATCAGTCCTACAGCAAAATATAGATGGGCAAACAAGGTGGATGAGGAAGAAAAATAGGATAAAAGGATGAAAACTAAAGATATAAATAGATTCATTGTTAGTTAGTTTTTGTAAGTTTGTGAGAGCTATTTTTTTGTTACATTTGGAGGCATTTCTTTTATTTAATTATTATTTATATATTTATTTTTCTAATACAGAAGACATTATTTCAATCATTATTTCATTCATTATTTTTTTAATCCGTCATAATAAAACATTGAGACATGAATATGATCACCCGAGTATAGGATTCTATATTTCTGTTTTACATTTAGCGCCATCTAATGTCAGGGAATGAATTTGCATGTTCACTCGGCTCATCGTCAGTGAAAAACGCTCGGGTGTGAACACAAAAAACGCGTTGAAAAACGCTGACAAATAACGCGCGCTGATATTCGTCCCCGTGTGTACGGGCCTTAACACTTTAGCTACACTTAAACGTTTCTGAATGCCACAGTGTTCGATAAAAAGGTCAAAATCAGTGTTTAAATAATAATTTTCTTAATTATGCAGCTAATTACAAAATGTACTTCTCTAATTACTTTTTTGGGCTCGAATAAATGTTTTAAAAATGTTTAGAAAAAAAAACTAATAATATTGTGTCACATGATCCTTCAGAAATCATTCTAATATTATTCATATTCATTCTTTATTGTCCTCAATTGAGGAAATGTGTTTCCACAGTCTGTACCAGGAACAACATTCAACACTCATAACATACATATATACACAATGTACACATAAATTAGTCTTTCTGTGAATTCAGCGCTCTTATGGCTGCGATTACAAAGCTCCTCCCTAGCCGTGAATTCTTATGGGGTAGCTGTCTATATCTAAGACCTGAGATAATATGTTGATTTGGTGGGCAAGAAACTTCTTAATAATGTAAAAAAAAATATTATTGTGGAAACCGAGATACTAGTAGAAGAACTAATAGAAGTACTAATAGAAATTTCAAAAGAACACCAATTATTTGAAATAGAAATCACTGACTAGCACAATCTGTCTTTGATGAATAAAAGCATTGTAGGCCTACTAATATTTTAAATAAAATAAATGGCAGAACCATTGCAATTATGCAGCTTAAGATAATACACTTTAAGTCCGAAAATATTGTTTTTTGCCACTGTAAGACAGCCATCTGAAAACCAAGCAAGCCTGAATAAGCACCCAGAGTCTGGCAACACCTGTTTCACTTTCCAGGGTAGGGCTGACGTTTGAACAAAGCAACAAATACTATAAACCGGCTCTTGTTTGTGGCATTTGTTTAGACAGTTTTTTTTTTTTTGAAATAAGGGTATTTTTGATCATAGACCAGATCATTACATCATGATACCACTATCTTTCGTGTTTTAAAAAGGGCTTAATGTGATCTCATCGGGAAAAACCAAACACTTTTTAATAATAGACTTAACAGCAAAGCAAGTGTTCTTATTTTTCTTCTGCTTTTTGTGGTTGGTTGTCATAATCAGTTCATAGAACCGTATATATATATAGGCCTATGTCACACTTCCTGCTTCCGGAACGCGGAACGCTTCCGGTCAACAGTTTTTCTCGATAAGGATTTAGATTATCAGCCCTAATGTCTAAACCATCCGAGGTAGACTGGTCACGAGCTACGAAGGTTTTTGCTCCTGTTGTATGAAATCAACCTTGTTTAAAGAAAAACATGTTGCAGGTTGTGGAGAGATTTGGTCCAGCGGTATCTATCAAACTTCTCCATTGTAAAAAGCTACCCGGAAGAGCCGTATCCCTACTAAAAGACGTACTTCCGGTCTTCAATTTGTTCTGTGACCTAGGCCTATTTGGCACTATATAAATAAGAGTCTCAATATTCCAGGTGTAAATTTCTACTCAAGAAATATTTCTAATTATCAATGTTGAAATCAGTTAGGAATGAAAATCAGTTAAAGTATCTTTTGTAATATTATAAATGTATTTACTGTTCCTTTTGATCAGTTTAATGCATCCTTGCTGAATTAAAGTATTAATTTTTTTAAAACTCCAAGCTTTTTGAATGGTTATATACTTTTTTTTGTTTTTTTACTACATAAAATGAGCAATTGGCATTTTCATTTTTAAACGTTTGCCTGTATCACAATGACAATTGAACTGCAAAGAGACAGAACAGGAAGTGAAATAAGATCCTGGCAACACTTTTGTTATATTGAAACAAATCTCATTATCTTATAATGAGACCGTGGCCTTAGAGTCTGTGTAATATTTTAGGACAGTGCCATCAGCTGGTCAGAAGTTATAAACAGAAATGCTTAGAAATGAAGCCTTAGAAATGCTTGTCTTAAAGTCACAGATGTTATAACCAAATAACAACGTGCTCTCATAATTGCAGCTTTATTAGAAATTTTATTATTTTTTTCTTCATATTTTATATGAAATCTTGTACATTTAAATAATTTCCATTAAATAGCATTTAATGTAATCGTTAATTTGTGTCCTGATAGCATATTTACAGATTAACTACATAAACACGTTTTGGTCTTTTTGAATGTGGACTGTTGTTGTTTTCCCTCCTCAGCTGTGGTGGATCTGAACGGGCGGTACTTTGGAGGTCGGGTGGTGAAGGCCTGTTTTTATAACTTGGATAAGTTCCGTGTTTTAGACCTGGGAGATCAGATGTGAGTGGGAGATCCAGACCTGCACAACCAGGAAAGAGTAAACACCAGGAAGAGATCGTTTCTGTATATAGCACGAGTAATTTTATACACCCTTGAAGAACGTTAGCTTATGTGCCCCTTCCCGCAATGAGGATTTAATTTGCTCTTTTTTTTATTATTATTATTTCTCCTTGTCTCTTTCTCTCTCTAATGTCACAGTCAGAAATATCCTTTTGTCGTGTCCTTGTGAATAAGATGTGATGAAGAACCCAGAATTAAACAAAACTTGGTGCTTTTACGTGAATACTCCAGTCGTTACTACCTGCTTTTACAGAAAAGAACAATTGCATAATGATGTTGAATGGGGTGACGATGATGATGGTTATAATGAATGAGCCCTGGTTCATGATTTATATAACCAGACACCTTGTCCCTGTGCGACTCTAGAAAGTAGGAAACCTACATTCCTCTGTTGTGACATAACGGTGACTCCCATGAGCCCTCACTCTATGATCCACACACTATTGATAGACTAAAAGTATTAAACTTTTTCTTAATGCGTGTCTTGACCCTAACGGAAATAGGGTTTTGTGTGTTACTCAATAAACGGTGACTTCAGTGTTGTTTAAAAGCATTTCTGTAGGTCTATAAATGCATCACATGAATAATATTTGTGTGTATTATCAGGTAACTATACATGATAGTGTATTTTCATGCAGGATGTGTGTTGGACTGGGTCAGTGATGGTGTGATGTTCTGGTTTGGTGAGAAGGACGCACTTACGCAATGCGAAGGTGCTGGGGAATAAAGTAAAGAATAGACTGAACTCCATGAGGATTGACTCAAACAGAACAGATCCTCATCAAACGACTCTTAAATGAGCAGAGCGTCTGAAACATGTCAGAACAGGGTTGAGCTTTTCAGGTCACAAGTTCAGCACTGGGGGTTGAGCCGGTACGCGGTGTAAAAGTGCTAAAGGTGTTACGGATTGTTGCAGATGTTTGGATTAGTACTTTTTGAAATGTATAATTGTTCATAATGAAAATCAAACCCCAGATCCTACTCGTATTTGTGTTGCAGACATGTATGATAGAGTATTAATTAATTAATATGAATCTGCATCAATTCAACATAGTTGCACGTGGCCGTTTAACTGTTCTCAGCCAGGGGGTCTTTTAAGAATATATGAATACATGAAACCTGGATATATGAGGTAGCTCAATTCTAAAAGTGTGATTTCTAGACCTGGACAAGTCATAAATAAAATGGTAAAGCTAATATGCACATTTCTAGTTATAAGCTATAAGCTCTAAAAAATATTTTATTGGGTAGAAATTGAGTAAAATATTCTTTTTAAAATAAGTCTTTATCCTTAACCCGTATTCACTAAATCATGAACAACTGGAATAGTCATAGGGCCTTTGAATGTTGTAATGTAGACAATGAAGGCGTGTAATATGTGGTTTCATAAGGACAAAGAATTCTGACTTTTTTTATTGCCAGTTTCAACCAATGAGATGGTCACCACACCCCTTAATTAATCCTAGCATATGTGGGGAAATAATCGTAGAGGTGGATGGAGATATTTACAGATGTTGTGGTTTGCAGCTTAATGACATACTATTTTAGGTTTGCCCAATTTCCATTTTTCTTTTCTTTTTTCTTCTTTTTTTTTTTTACCAGGCAAAATGCTTAAATTAAAGCCACTGTTCACCATCATGTTATTCCTAACTTGTTTTGCATTTCTTTTTTTCTGTGGAAAACACAAGAAGATTTTATGAAAAATGTCTCTGTTGTGTTTGTTTTCTTTTCCTTTTGTTTTGTTTGTCTCATGTCTCAGTGTTTTGTGTCTCTCATCTAAGTGTTTTGTTTGTCTCAGTGTTGTTTTTGTTTGTTTCATGTACCAGTTGTTTTATTTTTCTCTGTGTTTTGTCTGTGTCAGTGTTTTGTTTGTCTCGTGTCTGTTTTGTCTGTCAGTGTTTTGTTTGTCTTATGTCGGTGTTTTATTTATCTGTCTGTGTTTTGTGTGTCTCATGTCTGTGTTTTTTCTGTGTCAGTGTTTTGTGTGTCTCGTGTCTGTTTTACTTATCTGTGTTTTGTCTGTGTTAGTGTTTTGTTTGTCTAGTGTCTGTTTTGTTTTATTTATCTGTCTGTGTTTTATCTGTGTTAGTGTTTTGTTTGTCTAGTGTCTGTTTTGTTTTATTTATCTGTCTGTGTTTTGTCTGTCAGTGTTTTGTTTGTCTCGTGTCTTGTTTTATTTATCTGTCTGTTTTGTGTCAGTGTTTTGTTTGTCTAGTGTCTGTTGTTTTATTTATCTGTCTGTGTTTTGTCCGTCAGTGTTTTGTTTGTCTCGTGTCTGTTTTGTTTTATTTATCTGTTTTATCTGTCAGTGTTTTGTTTGTCTCATTTCGGTGTTTTGTTTTATTTATCTGTCTGTGTTTTATCTGTGTCAGTGTTTTGTTTGTCTCGTGTCTGTTTTGTTTTATTTATTTGTCTGTTTTGTCTGTCAGTGTTTTGTTTGTCTCGTGTCTGTGTTTTGTTTTATTTATCTGTCTGTGTTTTATCTGTGTCAGTGTTTTGTTTGTCTAGTGTCTGTTGTTTTATTTATCTGTCTGTTTTGTCTGTCAGTGTTTTGTTTGTCTCGTGTTTGTTTTATTTATCTGTCTGTTTTTTTATCTGTGTCAGTGTTTTGTTTGTCTCATTTCTGTGTTTTGTTTTATTTATCTGTCTGTGTTTTATCTGTGTCAGTGTTTTGTTTGTCTCATTTCGGTGTTTTGTTTTATTTATCTGTCTGTGTTTTATCTGTGTCAGTGTTTTGTTTGTCTCATTTCTGTGTTTTGTTTTATTTATCTGTCTGTGTTTTGTCTGTGTCAGTGTTTTGTTTGTCTCATTTCGGTGTTTTGTTTTATTTATCTGTCTGTGTTTTATCTGTGTCAGTGTTTTGTTTGTCTCGTGTCTGTTTGTTTTATTTATTTGTCTGTTTTGTCTGTCAGTGTTTTGTTTGTCTCGTGTCTGTGTTTTGTTTTATTTATCTGTCTGTGTTTTATCTGTGTCAGTGTTTTGTTTGTCTCGTGTCTGTTTTGTTTTATTTATTTGTCTGTTTTGTCTCAGTGTTTTGTTTGTCTCATGTCTGTTTTGTTTTATTTATTTGTCTGTTTTGTCTGTCAGTGTTTTGTTTGTCTCGTGTCTGTGTTTTGTTTTATTTATCTGTCTGTGTTTTATCTGTGTCAGTGTTTTGTTTGTCTCGTGTCTGTTTTGTTTTATTTATTTGTCTGTTTTGTCTCAGTGTTTTGTTTGTCTTGTGTCTGTGTTTTGTTTTATTTATCTGTCTGTGTTTTGTCTGTGTCAGTGTTTTGTTTGTCTCATGTCTGTTTTGTTTTATTTGTCAGTGTTTTGATTGTTTGTTTGTTTTTTTTACCCAATTGTCTTTCATTGTATGGACAAAAACAGTTCATCTTTTGTGTTCCACTGAAGAAATAGTCATAGAGTTTGGATATAGGGAGTAAATAGGGACAGAATTTACATTTTTGGGTGAAGTATCCCTTGAATTAAGTCTCAAGTCTAGACTTTATTTCACAATTGGTCTCATGTTCATTGCATATGTTTAACTACGCTATAGGGAGGTTGATTACTTGCTGTTTGTTTTTGATTTGCAGAGACTGCTTGTGCGTGTTGTGTGAGATTAGAGGTGTATGGTTACTAGTTCCGTTTACAGTAAACAGCACCTCAGGGCCCCAGTCTGAACCCTGTTTACTGGGAAGTGATTCCCTACACTCTAACTTGCGAAATTGATTTATGATGCATGACTCTATTTTAATCGCTGTACAGTAACGTCTGGGGAGTTCCATAAAAACACACCTGAACACTACATTCATTAATATGCAGCTTTAAGTTAATTTCCACGTGCACTTCCTATAAAAAAATATAATCTCAAAGTCTCTGCAAGAGAATAATTTTTTCCCCGCTTTAAAAGGTTAATTCGTTGCACTATAACATTAAAATGTGTGTGTGTGTGTGTAAATGTGTACACTTTACTGTGTGTGTGTTTCATGTTCTCTCTGCTGGGCTATTCCTGGTTTTGACATCTTATCCTTGTGAAGAGTGAATCTGCTTGCGGGACAAGTTCTGTATCACTGCGTCACACTTGTTTTCTTCACCCATGCTGTTTTAGTGTCAGAAAACTGTGGATGCCAAGAAACCCGTGTACTGTTAGTGTTTACTTGACACTTACATTTCTTGTTGTTGGCCTACATGCCTGCTTCATGCATCTAAACAAATACAATTCTGTAATAGCAATCTCTTTATAAGTCTAAATTTCAAAATCTCACATGAAACATATTCTACGATGTGTTAGTTTGTGTGCAAGTTAAACGACAGCTCTAGCACTGAATGAAAAGCCCTTACCGCTATGAGAATTAACCCACATTCCAGTAATATAATCTCCTGCGTGGAGCTGTCTGAGAGTGTCCTCTTTAATGAGAAGCAAACGAGGGCTTTTTAAAAACCGTTTTGAGGATTGATTTTTGTGTCTCTGGAAAAAAATTGATCTAGTGATTTAATATGTTGAATATTTTTGCGTCTATTTGTTAATGAGGGATTTGTGGACACATTCATGTTTTTAGATTTGTGGAAGTTGTAGTTTTTTTTTTTCTGAAGACAAAAGATAAATTTAGACCCTTGGGGAAAGATGACCCCTCAGAATTGGCACAGAAAGCCTGTTATAGTGGTATTATTTTATTCATATTTTTTTTATGAACGGGGTTATAATTGAATTAGATGTACATTTCAGACATCTTTGCTTTCACGAAAACCTATAGTCGAGTTTGCATACATTATGTTGGTATTATGAGTATCTTCAATTAAAATATGGGCAATTAAATGTGTAGATATTCATATGCATATGTCTCAGAATAATTACCTTACAGATTAATCTTATACTGCACTGTAAATAGTGATCAGGTGACATTGGTTATTCAATTATTCAACTAAATTATCTAAATTGAATTTGACATTTTTGACACTTTTTAGAAATGTATATTTTAAAAAAGTAATAAGAATATCAAAAGTCATTACATTCTGTTAAAGTTTAGATAAGTGAGCAAATGTTTCTTATTTCCTGTAATAACACATTGGCTGATGCATCATCATTCTGCGCATGCTAAACTTGATACTATTTAAAAGTAAATGCACATTGTTCTTAAAATGGGTGTCTTCCTGAAGTATAATGTACCCTAAATTTTTGTTTTTTTTCTGCTTGTCTTGGAAAACAAAAACCCTCTACACATTTTAGAAGGATATTCAGTGCCCACAGCAAAAAAAAAAACTAATTTAAAAGCTCAGCCAGACAGCTATCTGGAACTGGGTCAGTACAGCAGCCAAATGAAAACAGGCTCACTGTGCAGTAACAAAGGCTCAAGAGTGTGAAATCACAAGGAAGTGACATTAAGCTTGAGGAAAAACCAACCTGTTCTCACATAACTTGCAATTAACTTTCTTTCTTTTGGCATCGCATTTCATTACTAAAACGATTAATTAGACTTTTTTGTCATGTTTCCCTACTTAACGCAGTAATATTTGCTTAAGGAGAGTAGTGAAGCTGGCCCAGTGATGTCACACATTGTCACTCCTGCAGTTTTCATCCTGTACGTGCAGATGTGCGAGTCACCAACAGCTCGGCATTTTAGTGAAGATCTCAGACCCCACAAAGGCTTTTTTTTAAACATAATTAGAGGATTAAATGCATCGCAGTCCTTTTTCTCGATACGTGCATATGACTCCCTTCCCTCTCACGTGCTATAAAAGCATATTAAAAGGAAAAGAACAACGCAACCTTCAAATAGGCTAATAGACTATGCATTAAACGATGTTCAGCAGTCACATTTTATTTAATGCACCAATGATGGAGAAATTATTTAATTTATTTTTAGGCACTATATATATATATATATATATATATATATATATATATATAACAGCGTATGATAGCCTACTGCAAACATTGATTTCTCTCAAATAACGCTTGCTGTAGGCTAAGTGTAGCCTACAAATCAATAGAAACGTAGACTTTACACGTTAATTTGCTAGGCAACAAAAAACTCGATTTGATTTCTTTTTAATTCATAAGATAAACTAACAACCTTTTTACAGATATGGAAATACAATAGAATAATTTTAGAATTAACCATTACAATTGACTGTTACTAGCCACTTTTATTAAGAGAAATTAAAAGAAAAAAAATCAACTAGCAAAGCAATGATTTACTACTTGAATGTGTTTGCTGTTATTTCAGGGGTTCATGGCTGAAGATTGATGGATTGATGTTGTGACTCCCCTCACGTAGGCATGTGTGGGGATGCCCACTCGATGCGTAACCTGCAATGCTTTTGAGCACATGCCTTTCTTTCCCTTTTATTAGCCTATTAGCATCCAGAAAGCAATAATGTTATATCAAAATAATAATTTTCGTATTATTAAAACTCATGGATGAACACGAATAGCACAGATGTGTATAATTATTTTTAAATATTTTAACCAATGTTTTGCATTTGGCCGGAAGGTGGCGTACGTGAACGCGCTTCACTGATAGACACACCTCCGCAGTGATGTCACCCTCGCGTGTAGCCGGTTCCGTATTTAAAGCGCAGAAGATGAGAGACGGGATGTGAGAGAGATTATCGAAAAGCGAAGAGAAGTGGTGTTGTACATTATAGCCGATACAAATAACCAAACAGCTTTTAAAGAAGAAGAGATACAAAAGAAGAGCATCGTAATTCTTACGTTTTGGTTTATTTTCTTTAAACTAAACTACATTGTTTTGGGAATTCCCGAAGCCGGCGTTTCCTGCCGCAGTTTGAGTTTTCTTGCGGATATTTTTCCATCCTAAAGGAATGCCAAGGGAACTGACTCAAAACAGGATCCAAAAAATCTGGATTCCCTCTAAGGATGACAAACCTTCAATGCCCCGCATACGTAAGTAGTACATTATTTTCACTTTTTGATTCATATTAAAGAATGGCGAGCAGCACAAAACTGCATAATGTTTCTGCAGATAGCCCTATTAATATCAGTAGTGGTATTAGTATGTATAAAACCTAACATTATCATTTTCAACGGTAAAGCACTCTACATGTAATAAAGTGAAACAGTGACAGTCATCGGGTATCCATGGCAACAGAGTTAGCTGGTTCTACACATTCTTAATTCTCGATTTTAAGAGCCTCGCGTGATTCGGTTGTCATGGAAACCCTCGCGCATCGCCTTTGTAAAGACTTTTCTAACTCAATGGTACACGTGACGACAAAGTGCATTGAATCAAGCTCTGAATGGGGATTCGACAGAAGGATGTGGGAGTATTGCGTTTTTCATTCATTTCGGGCTATGATTGGTCGAATATATTTACCTGCGATTGCATGATGATAGCAGATGCTTATGAATTAGTCATTACAAGTGCTTTTTAATATCTGCTGCGTCAATGATATCACTGAGGGCTTAGGCATCATTTGCTGCAATATGTGTGGATGTGTGAAAGTGAACAATTACAAGAAGTATGATAATAATAATTTGAGCTCTATTTCTCTGAGTCTAAATAATAATAATATAATATAGCATTTCGTTTAATTAGCATTTTCATTATTCAAAACAATCAGATTTTAATCAGTTATTTAATGATATAGTGTACAAGTATTTATTTGGCATGGTAGTATTTTTGTATTGCCTTGAATTCATGCAGATTTTAATCTAAAATTAAAAAAACGATTCAAAACAGTGTTTATATATATATATATATATATATATATATATCTGTTTTTCAATATATTGCAGAATATAATGAGAACATAAAGAATAATGAAAATTATAAACACACATACACACTCACATGTTTACTAAATGGTTTATCTAAATAGTATCCCCTTACACTAACCCGACCCCTAAACCTACCCATCACAGAAAACGTTTTGCATTTTTAAAAAAAACCTTACTTTATTTATTTATTTACCAGATTTACTAAGGACGTCCCTAAAGGGAGGTTTTTGGAGATTTGTTTGCTTTGGTCACTTCTTTGTACAAATTTGCCACCAAAATATAATTAAGTAGGTACACACTCACACACACACATTAAATTTGGTTAATTTAATAACCTTAACTGTCAAATAACATTAACACATCATGTCTGTGCTTACCCAAATGTTAGTATCTCCGAAAGTAGGCTTCAAAAAATACACTAATATAATTGAATGCAATTTTCTTTTAATTCTGGTGTGAATCATGACCTAAACATGAGCAGTTTCTGTCCGGTCAGAGTACGTGGACAAAAGCCTAATAAGATCATTGTCTCTGCTGACTGAGCTGAGTTTGAGGATCTTCTTAAGGACGTTCTGAAGGATTAACCCCGACTCCTCTAGTTCACGCTGCCCATTCACGTGGCCACCTGCCAATGGACATCAACAAGTCATTGAGGAAAAACAGCTGTGTCCTTTCCCTCTCCATGCTAGGGATCACTCTAAGCCATAAATGATATGATGAAGTAGAAACACAATCAAAATATACGAAATTGCTTGAATCCTAGCCTAATGCACGACTGCGTAAATACATATATATATTGTGGCAATTTCCATTAAACATAAGACATGCTCACAAACATTTACTTTCCAGAGGATTTATATGTCTGTGTGTGTACGCGAAAGTGAGACTTATCTCGGTCTGACGTCAGTTAACGTCTTTCTGCAGGCGGCGTGGAATGTGCACGTGCATTTAAGTGTAGTAAATGTTTCGTTTTTAAAATGCTTCTGTGCGCACATGGCCCGTGTTGTTTGATTGGCTGGCGAGGAGGGTCGCTGACAGGTTCCCAGGCACGTGAAGAGAAATCAAGGCAACCACTGGAGTGAGATTTGAAAGAAAAATGTGTCCATACCCTTTAAAACTCTCAGGCTAATGGCATTTCTGTTTTTCCAGCCAAGTGTGACCATGTATTTCACTTCTTTGTATATTAGCACATGGAGGACCCCACTTGGCAAACCCTCCTACGGTGATCGTGATGGTCGGGCTTCCTGCTCGGGGCAAAACCTACATCTCAAGGAAACTCACACGCTACCTCAACTGGATTGGTATTCCCACAAAAGGTACAAAATCACACCTAAAAATATATCACAATAAGCATTTATTTCATCTAAACACAATAGTAACATTTTGCGTGAATTCTATGTGTATTTGTAGTCTTTAACGTTGGCGAGTATCGTCGAGAAGCGGTGAAACACTTCAGCTCCTACGACTTCTTCAAATCCGACAATGAGGATGCCGTAAAAATTCGACAGTGAGTACACAACGCCGTACTATACACAATTCTTCAAATCATTTATTGATGTATAGTAGTGCTGGGCAACGATTAATCGTGATTAATCGCATCCAAAAAGCAAAATAAAAGTTTGTGTCTACATAATACATGTGTGTGTGTGGTGCTTATAATTATTTTGTATATATAAATGCACACACATGCACGTATATATTTAAGAAAAAATGTGTTCTTTATATATGAAATATTAGTATTTATATATAATCTAAATTATGTATAAATATACATACAATATCATGCACATATTTCTTAAATATATACATGTTTGTGTGTGCATTTATATATACAAAATAATTATAAGCACCACACACACTTGAATTATGTAAACAGAAACTTTTATTTTGGATGCGATTAATCGCGATTAATCATTGCCCAGCACTATTTTTATGGATATATATATATTAGGGTTGTCAAATGATTAATTGCATCCAAATTAAAAGTTTGTGTTGACATAATATACTGTATGTGGGTGCACTGTGTATAATTATTTTATATATATAAATACACACACATGCTTGTATATTTAAGAAAAAAAATATTATTTATAAATAAAACATTTAAATTTATATATATTATATATAAATCTATATACATGAAAATATTTCTTAAATATATACAAGAATGTGTGTGTATTTATATTTATAAAATAATTATACACAGTGCACCCACATACAGTATATTATGTCAACACAAACTTTTAATATGGATGCGATTAATCGCGATTAATCGTTTGACAGCCATAATATATATGAGTAATATAAACGGAGTAATCCATATATAAATGGATTTCTAGACTAATTTCATGTTGTTTTGTCCCCAGGCAGTGTGCTTTGGCTGCTCTGAGAGATGTCAAGATCTATCTCACTGAAGAGGAAGGTCAAGTGGCTGTAAGTATCTGCATAAACATCTTAGACGCACTAAAAGACGAGTAGATCATCACCGCCGTATCTTTCCACAGGTTTTTGACGCTACAAACACAACCAGAGAGCGGCGGGATATAATCCTGGAGTTTGGTGCCAAAAATGGCTTCAAGGTCAGTCGTATTCTCTGGAAGATTGTTTTTGAGGACAATAACACTGATGAAGAAGACCACTAATACAAATGTACTTTGCAGATTTTCTTCATCGAGTCTGTTTGTGAGGACCCGAATGTAATCGCCTGTAATATTTTGGTGAGTCGTAACATAAAGATTGTTTAGTCTTACACACTCTAAAAATGCTGGGTTGTTTTAACCCAAACGCTGGGTTAAAAATGTAATCAAAAAATGGCGGGGTTTGTCCATATCTGACCCAAAGTTGGGTTAAAACAACCCAGCAATTTTTAGTGTGTATGTATTTTGAGTGAGAACTAGTAATAATCAAAGCCTTTTTGCATAGAAAGTTTGCAAAACCTCTGAATATTACTGTAATCCCTAAACAGGAAGTGAAGGTGTCATGTCCTGACTACCAAGATTGCAACAAGATGGATGCCGTGGAGGACTTTAAGAAAAGAATTGAATGTTACAGAGTGAACTATCAGCCGCTTGACCCTGACCAATATGACAGGTACACTAGCTACTTTCTTTGGTGCTGACTTTGTGTCGTTAATATCACAGGCTTAAAGGACAACTCCGGCGCAAAATGAACCTTTGGTCTAATTACATATTGCTACCTATTCAACCGTTATCTGAGATTTGTTTTCATGATTGCCGAATGTAAATAGTGTTATCTCTAAAAACAGTTTAGCCTATAATGCTAGTATAACGCTAGTATATGGGGCATTGAGTAATGACAAATAAAAATCGCTTGTTATTACCACTAACAAGGCTCAAAATATCCCCACAGTAACACGACAGCATAATAAGGGTCTCTACATTCAAACCGAAGCATTGAGAACTTTGTCAGTGTCCATACAGTTTAATAAGAAGATATTTTATACACACAGTCAACTTCGCGAATACAGGAAGAAGCCATCTTTAAAACATAGTCTCTACCAGTCGATCTACGAACGCCGATCCAAGTGCGCTGAACTGTGCAGAATCTCATATGGTCCGTTGTTTCCGGAAGAAACACGAACCGTTTTCTTCTCTTCAATATGTATACGTAGACTACTGTTCGCGCTCACCTTATCACCTTAAAGGCCAATTTATACTTCTGCGTAGGGTGCGCGCAGTAGGTACGGCGTAGCATACGCACAGACGCGTCCCATACCGCGTACCCTTCGCCGTCGCCTGACGCGCACCTCCTCAAAAATGTAACTACACGTCGCGACGACGCGGACCGCAAGATCGGTGATTGGTTGGCTTGGTGGCATCGCATTTCCTCCTACGCATTTCCGCACGTACCTTCTCACGCATTTCCACCACTGTCTATGATTTCCACACATTTCATCTCCTCCGAAGTCTTCTCTCATTTCTGCCTTTCAGTTTTAGTAATTTCACTAAAGTGAACTGTTTTTCCACCTTAATAAGCTCCAATTCCAACATGATCAGCTCTCTTTCACTCGTAGTAACCTAGCCGCGAGGAATCTAAACACAGTGGAACATTAAAACTCTCCGCCGCCAACTAGCGTTTCGGAGCAGTACTGCAGAGCAACCAAGACCTGAACGCAGAAGTATAAATGCTCACAACGGCGTCGCCTACGTGCGTAGCCAACGGCGTACACTACGGCGTACCCTCGACGCAGAAGTATAAATTGGCCTTAAGGCCAATTTATACTTCTGCGTAGGGTGCGCGCAGTAGGTACGGCGTAGCATACGCACAGACGCGTCCCATACCGCGTACCCTTCCGCGTTGCCTGACGCGCACCTCTTCAAAAATGTAACTACACGTCGCGACGACGCGGACCGCAAGATCGGTGATTGGTCGGCTTGGTAGCATCGTATTTCCTCATACGCATTTCCGCACGTACCTTCTCCTCCGACGTCTTCTCTCATTTCTGCCTTTCAGTTTTAGTAATTTCACTAAAATGAACTGTTTTTCCACCCCAATAAGCTCCAACTCCAACATGATCCACTCTCTTTCAGTCGCTATTGCTTGTAGTAATCTAGCCGCGAGGAATCTAAACACAGTGGAACATTAAAACCCTCCGCCGCCAACTAGTGTTTCGGAGCAGTACTGCAGAGCAACCAATACCTGAACGCAGAAGTATAAATGCTCACAACGGCGTCGCCTACGTGCGTAGCCAACGCCGTACACTACGGCGTACCCTCGACTCAGAAGTATAAATCAGCCTTATTCACATCTCACCACCGTACTTGGATCGGCGTTCGTAGATCGACTGGTAGAGACTATTTTTCCAAGATGGCTTCTTCCTGTATTCGCGAAGTTGACTGTGTGTATAAAATATCTTCTTATTAAACTGTATGGACACTGACAAAGTTCTCAATGCTTCGGTTTGAATGTAGGGACTCTTATTATGCTGTCGTGTTACTGTGGGGCTATTTTGAGCCTTGTTAGTGGTAATAACAAGCGATTTTTATTTGTCATTACTCTATGCCCTATACTAGCATTATACTAGTGTTATAGGCTAAACTGTTTTTAGAGATAAAACAATTTACATTCGGCAATCATGAAAACAAATCTCAGATAACGGTTGACTAGGTAACAATGTGTGTAATTAGACCAAAGGTTCATTTTGCTCCGGAGTTGTCCTTTAACCACTTTTCCTTGATTATCCTCAGGAATTTGTCGTTCATCAAAGTGATAGACGTCGGTCGCAGATTCCTGGTCAACCATATTCAAGACCACATCCAGAGCAGGATCGTCTACTACCTGATGAACATCCACGTGCAGCCGCGGTCTATTTATTTGTGCCGTCACGGCGAGAGCCAACACAACTTGCAGGGCCGACTTGGCGGAGACTCTGGGCTGTCTGCACGTGGACGAAAGGTACCATGCTCTTAAATCTCGGAAAAGAATTAACATGACGCAGTACGATTACTTTTAAATAGCCCTTGCCTCATTATAAAATGACATATAGCTTCATAAACCGCCATGAAGCTGAGTTTGGTGCCAAGGATGGTATTTGTAAAGTTTAAAAACAGTGTGTTCTAGTACAGAGTGCTAAATTACCCTCGTGTCCAATTTGTCCAAACTCCCTTGAATAATAAATCGTCCCGCTCTGTAGTTTGCAGGAGCTCTTGCTAACTTTGTGGAGGAGCAGAACTTGCAGGACTTGAAGGTTTGGACGAGCCATCTGCGTCGTAGTATCCAAACGGCCGAGGCCCTCAACGTGCCGTACGAGCAATGGAAAGGCCTGAATGAGATCGATGCGGTACGTTTTCAGTCTGGTTTGGTTTTTGGGGCTACGTCGCTCGATTTCCATTCCCGTTAAACGTGTGTATGGTGTCTGCAGGGTATGTGTGAGGAGATGACCTATGAAGAAGTAAGGGAGAGGTTTCCGGAAGAGTTTGCTCTGAGAGATCAGGACAAATACTACTACCGCTACCCTTCCGGAGAGGTACAAACAGATGAAGCGCCTTCATTTCAATATGACAATACTGAAGAATGTGTGCTTTAATTAAACGCATGTTTCCCCAGTCATATCAGGACTTGGTTCAGCGGGTGGAACCATTGATCATGGAGCTGGAACGACAGGAGAACGTTCTTGTCATCTGTCACCAGGCTGTGATGCGCTGCCTACTCGCCTACTTCCTGGATAAAAGTGCAGGTGAGATCGTTAAATCAATAGATCGTGCAGAAATACTTACCAAAAAGTCATTCAAAACTCATAAGACTTTCTTTCTTCAATGGAACACAATAGGAGACGTTTAGCATATTGTCCGACACACTGTTTTTCACACTAATGGAAGTGGAAGTTGAAGAGAAAGGGAGTGCTGTTGAGCTTCGAAAGTAGTGCAAATGACTTCTGAAACCATTTGTAGGTTCACTGCGAAAATGTACTTTAATGTCATCTCTATCGAAACGTGTGTGTCATGTACATTTGCGATGAAGTTGCTATTTAGAGCATTTCAAATATATTAACTTCAAATGTAACACTGTAGTTCAAATGATAATCAAGAACTTTAGTATGTTAGTCACATCAAAATGTGTGTACTTTAAAGCATGACAACATAAAACAAAAAAAATGTAATTAAAATGTTAAAAAATGTTGTTGTTTTTTTCTGAAAAACAACTTCAATTGATAAAGCTATTATATGACTTCAGGGGCCAGTTGCATAAACATAAACCACGTCCTGAGAACTAGGCCGACCAACTAGCAGTGAGCCAAGGGGTAATTAGACTTATTTTTTCAGATTCAAATTAGGGCGATCTACATTTTTATGTAGCTGTTATGACCAGGCTTGAAGAAAAAGACTAGTCTAAGCATTTTATTTAACCAGCCCAGGAGTCATACGGACTACTTGAATTGTTATTTTAATTTTTTTGAGTGTGACAGCACCGATAACTTTCCTAGTATGGAAAAGAGCAGCATGAACATTCATCAAAATCTCTCTATTTGTGTTTCTTGTAAGAAAAAGTCAGATTTGGTGAACTATCCCTTTAAATTCATCCCCTCATCTTCATCAGCTGACACTTTTCCATCCTCAGTAGATCCCCAGTAGGGTCCAATTCTCACAATGAACTAGTTGCTTATCAGCATGCATATTACTTGTTGCATATTATTTAAGTTGTAGTTAAAGGGATACTCCACTTTTTTTTGGAAATAGGCTCATTTTACTACTCCCCCAGAGTTTTACCGTTTTTGAATCCATTCAGTCGATTTTCTGATATTTAGAAGAATATCAGTAACCGCACAGTTTCTGGTCCCATTGACTTCCATAGTAGGAAAAAAAATATACTATGGAAGTCAACGAGACCAGAAACTGTCTGGTTACTGATATTCTTCTAAATATGAAGAGTTCAGATGCAAAAGCCTCTAAATGCCATTTGAAATTTTCTTCTAGAATGATCATTTTTATCAAGCTTGTATATTTAAGTTCAGTCATTTCACTTAAATAACAATTAATAGGTAATTATCATTGCCATTTAAGTGAAATCACTGAACTTAAATATACAAGCTGGATAAAAATGATCATTCTAGAAGAAAATTTCAAATGGCACTCAGAGGCTTTTGCATCTGAACTCTTCATATCGAAAAAATCAGCTGAATACATTCGAAAACGGTAAAACGCAACTGTTTAACTCTGGGGGAGTGGTAAAATGAGCCTATTTCCAAAAAAATTGGATTATCCCTTTAATAGTGAGAATTGAACCCTATTCTAAAGTGTGACCAAAGTGCAATCATACTAACCTTTCATTTCCTGTTGGCAGATGAGATGCCGTACCTGAAGTGTCCACTCCACACAGTCCTGAAGCTGACCCCAGTGGCTTATGGTAAGATTTTTTTTAACTTATTATCTCTGACATTTCTAATCTGAATAATATTGAAAAGTATAACGCTAACTAATAGTGTTACTTTTGGTATTTTAAAGGGTGCAAGGTTGAATCTATCTGTCTGAATGTGGAGGCAGTGAACACGCATAGAGACAGACCAGAGGTAAGCACAAACTCACACACTTGACACACAAAAGCTGTACCATTTCAGCTTCTGATGTATTCTCTCTCTCTCTCACTAGGAGGTGAAGAGAGGCCCGGGCACTCTGATAAGGAGAAACAGTGTGACCCCTCTCACCAGCCCTGAACCCAATAAAAAGCCTCGCATTGACGGTCTAGATGACCCGATCATCAGAGAAGTGACGCCCGCCCAACTGACCCTGTGTTCAACATCACACACCACACTCGCTCTGTCCACACAGGTCAGCCAGAGTTACTGCTCATAGATCTATAACCTGTGTCATATCTTCACTCTCATAACCCTATAGTGACATATTAATCATTTCATGCTTCACTGTTTCCTTTATGCTTCCTCTTTCACCTTTATGTGCCACAGCACTGGCTTAGTGAAGCTTGTCTGTAAGTATTTCCTATCTCTGTTTCTTTCTTCTTTAAACAATCTCACCTCGTCGAACCTGTCCAACTTGACTTTCGTATACTTGCACATACTTTCACATCTTTAAATAGGCCATAACGTTTAATGGTTTTTTCTTACATGGGTGTGTCATTATTTTATTCATTATCTTTCGTTGTTGGCATCCAATCAAACTACAGTAGTTATTTTCTGAAATCAGAAATCTTTGTGATTCTGACGTCACAAGTTCATTAACATGACCTATTCGTTCAGTATTTTACAACTTGGCCTGCCCTGACGTTATTGTGAACCATGGTATAAAGATTAGCCAATCATAACCAACCTTATTTGCATATATAAGTCTTAAAGGTACAGTAGCAATCTTGTTTATTTTAGAGAGAGGGTGGAAAATGGCCACGTTAAACAACTGATTATGCTGTAATCTTACAATATGTGTCCTTAAATGGTGGTAAATGTACACAAGCACAGTAGTTACACACTTCATATTTATATGTTGATAGTATAGCTTTCTCATTTGTTCTACAAATGGTCACAGTCTGTCTCTTGCTCATCTTTTCCATGCTTAAAGACGCACTTTTTTACATTACCTACAAGTGGTTTCAGTGCTGCTCTTTCAGAGGTAATACTCACAGAACCTAATAATGTAGAGTAGTTAGTTGAGCAATTTGTGAATAAGAATTGATTTTGGGAGTAAATCTACAGAAATCCTGAGGAATACATCTGAATGTGGTAAAATGTGTTACATGAGCCCTGTTTATAACTGGTATTAACATTTGGTACTTACATTTAGTGCTTGCTAACCATCCGAAACATGTCAATTACAAAATACCAGGTGTAAACGAGGTCAAATTAGTAAATATTCAATAAACAAATGCAAAAGGCGTGTAAAATATGTAGAGCTTGCATTCATTGTTCGAATTCAATGAAAATATGTGAGCGTGCAGATTCCATGTAACCCTCAAACCGTATTCACTCCTGTAATTGTGGACAAATGTGGGCATAGAGGACTCGGGTGTGATCCTAATTTTTATTTATTATAAATGTTATATCACTGTCTTCGATAAAGTTTTGTCTATCCATTTATGGTGTTTTTTTTTATTTTGGGGGTATTTTTGAATTTATTTACTTCAAAAAGTATCATATTTTCTTTGTAAATTATGCTTATTTTTATGTTTTATTTTTTTTATTTTTTTTTTTAACTACATTAAAATATCATTCCAATAAGTTCTTAGAGCTAAAACCTAAAGATGAAGTGACTCTGCTGTCACCTGGTGTCTTTTTTTTTGCTTATTTTAGAATGCTCTAAATTACCGTTTTTCCCATTCATTTCTATGGGTGCCCATTTTTGACCCAAATACAAGATTAAGGAGGGTTTTTTTTAAACTTAGGAAAAGTAGCCAAGTCAAAAATAGCCAGTTAAAAATAAATCAAGCTATTTTGCCCTCATTTGTCCAGAATACGGTTTTAGGGTTAACAATAACAAGTTTCTGTTATGCTAATTGCTAAATGCTATTAGCTGGCTAGCTGCTAGCTTGAGTAGGCCAACTGTTCAGTCATTAACCGAATGTTCTGCATCATTTTTTTTTTCTCACAGAACCTGAAAAACTGCTCTATAGAGTGCCACGAACCCCCTCAGCTCTGCCTGTGACACTGTCCGGCTATGCTTTACTCAGCGCAGATGAGTTTCCTGCCAAGCTGCTTTTCCTCTCACAGAGGAGTGTGCATCCTTCTCCCAAGAAATGGACACTGAGTGCCAACTGGGTTTTTCTATTCGTCTATGAATTCATGATTAATGTACGTATTGTTTTGGTTTGTACCAGTATGGAGATTGATGTTTTCTATGTGTGTTTTGTGTATGAAGACAAATCAGAGCCCAGTGGCAGGGATTAAACATTCGGCTAAGTGGTGTCGTCAACCACCCTCACATTTTTGGACACTATTCCCTGTTTATGTAACAGGATACCACTTGTAGATGTTTTTATTCTAGTCTCGGCTAGTTTTTTTGAAACACTGATGCCCTAAACTTTAAAGGATGACACTAAAACAGACCAAAGATCTCCTGCAGATGCTTGTGGGCTGATTTATGTCTATTCTGCACTCACTTTCAAAGATATGCTGCAAATTAGTTGCACATTGCATCTTCTGTGTGCAACAATGAATCTTACCATTTTTTTATGCTGCTGGCAGTTTTGAAGGCTGTTTAAAAGTTCTCATGTTGTCCACTGCAGTTTCAGATGATTTGTGTTATGGATTGTGCGTGTTTTTTGTGTGTGTGTTTCTAAGACCTGGCGACAAGGTCACTGTGCGAGGTTATAAAAACAGGGTGTTTTATGCATCTTTGGATGGGACAAAGTAAAACAGTGTTTATATTTGTTGTTTGTAATTAATGTATTTTATGGCGTGACGCATATCAGATACATTTTTATATTGTTCATTGATTCATTCCCTTCCTAGAGTGCCTAGAGTTTGAGCGATCAAGCCAGACTTGCTTTTTTTACATTCTACTATGAGAAATATGTTTAAAAAATACATTTGAATGAAATTAAGCTTTATATTTTAGTTTTACTTTTGTTAGCATGTCTCAGCCTGAACAAGAGATTAAACTTGTAGCCTATTGGATCATTTGTGTACAGATTTACCCCTGTAATTCAAATGATTACGGTTCGAATTTTTAGGAATAGAGTATAATTTTAACTGACCAGCTTTAACTGTAAATGTATGGTTTCTATGTATTCTATTCATAACACACCTATAGGTGCAATGTTGTACATTGGCTTGAAATGGTAATTCATTTGTTCGCTTCTTAATACTTGAAACTTATTTTGTAATATCTTTCCTTTTTTTGGTAAATTAATATTTATTTATTTGTACTAGACTGTGTTATTAAGCACTTTGTTCATTGCTGAGTTTGTATAGCATATCCTCAAGTCTAATTGTCTCTTTCTTAAGGAAAGTGAATCATTTATATGCATTTACTGAATCAATAAACATGCAGTCTAAAAGAGAATTTGTGGGGTTTTATTTGTTTTCACTGAACTGGATTTCCTTATCTTGACATTTTTCCATTAATGGTCAGAGACAGGGCGACAGTTTCCCATCTGTTTTTATTTAGTAGCAAAGTATCAGTCAGTCCTCATGCGTCTCATTTCAAATGAGCTCTATTTATGTTTTATGGCCTCCCGACATTGCTTACCTGTTTGAACAGATATTAACTGTTGCCCTCAATGGAAACTCATTGTATAACCAGTCAGCCTTTCATTTACCATTCAAATTATAGTGTGAGATGAGGCAATTTACATGTCACTTTAGTCACAAGGCATCCGTCACATGCCAACTTTTCCCTGCAGCAGGAGGGCAACATTAGATTAACCCTCAAAACATCAGATAATGTTTAATAGCAAGTCTAAATAAAAAAAGCCATTGGTAATAAGATCGGCACATATGGGAGTTTAGTTTTAAAAACCAAAACATGATATCTTTGTATGGATTGAAGATTTAATTTTCAGGAAAGGAATTTGAGTTAATTTTAAATCTTTGTATACATATTTAACTTTCATTAATAAAAAAAAGAGCATAATATTTTCTTGAACAAAACTAAAATGATACAAAAAAAGTAAAGATTTCACCCAGAAATTGCTTTAGAACTTCACAATTTACTTACAAAGCAAAAGAAAGTATCACTTTTCTTGAAAAAAAACTAAAATGATACAAAAAAGTAAAGATTTCACCCACGATTTACTTGCAAAGCAACATCAAGTAACACAATGAATGAAACACGACATTTTGGAGTAGAAAGATTTAATTCTTGTAAAACACTCAAATATTCTTTGTTTTATTTTCAGCTTGGATTTTTTTACTTTGCATGGGAAGAATATGTAGGTCAATTTCAGTATATAAACACAGTATTATACTGTGTGAGTAACCACCATATTTAAGGCCATTTTTTTCCCACTGACCTACAAACCTGAATGCATCTGAAAAAGACTGCATCTTCCTAAAAATGTCATCCAATCGTACTGAAAATGGGAAATATAATTTTCAAAAATGATTACTTAAGAAACACTTTAAACAAAATAACACTATGAATACACCTATTCATTTAAAACGACCATAGTAAATGACAGTAGCCTAATAGCTCAAGAGTCTTGTAATATTATCTGTAATAGTAGGCCCAATTTATAGCTCAGTGTTGAGTCTGAGCTCCAGGCTAAAGCGATGCAGAACATAAATCGACAGACAGACATGCAATCAGATCAGTATGAAGTCAATCAGGTCGTCGGGGTTGCAGCTTATCTCACGAGAGGAACCCAATGCCCCGGTCGTGCACGTGGATACCGTCGGCTCGCTGCACGCGCTCTGGAAATATCCCGCCAGCTGTGTTATGGAAACGTCTATAACATCTGGAAAAGCAACTGATGATTGTGGAATGTGACACATATTTAAAATGAAACCAGTTTGTTATTATTGATGAGCAACATTAAAATTCTTGCGAGTGTATATTTCCCATTTGGAACGGGAACTTAGTGATTCTCCATGATATAGTGTGCTAATTCTACATGGATAAAGGTGGTATTGTGGAAATACACTTACCGGACACCGTACCGGGTTGGACCCATTTTGCTTCAGAACTGGCTTAATTCGTTGTGTCATAGATATAACAATGTGCAGGATAGGTACAATTCTCACAGAGTTTGGTCCATATTGCATTACGCATACATGTCTTGAGTTGCTGCCATGTGATTGGCTGAATCAGCTATTCGTGTTAACAAGTTGATCAACAGGTCAGGTGTATCTAATAAAGTGGCTGGCTGGTGAGTACATTTACTTCTTTGTAAGCATTATGTTGGATAAAAATGTGAAAATGCCAATATTTGTTGCCTAATAGCCTATTCCTAAAAGAAAAAGGTACAAATGCATATACAAAGTGTTATTTTTAGAAGTAACGTTAGCCTGACATATGAGCGCTGCAGTGATTATACTTTTGTAAGCGACCCAGAAGTTCACGGAATTTTTCCATTGCTAGATAGCTCTGTGACCAAAGGTGACACGAAAGTTTATGATTATTACACAATTTTCGTGAATTTTCAACATTAAAATCGCTACCATTCGGCAGCAGAAGTATAAAAAAACAACAACAACAACAAAAAAAAAAAAAAAACCGACGTAGGCTAAGGAACGACCAACTACAGTTGCAACTATTTAATCGTTCTAACAAGTTTAAGTTAGAATTGTTTGCAAGATTATGAGAATAAACACAATGAGTCTGTAAAAGCGGACTAGAGTGCATTTTCCTTTTTTGCGTAATGATCTGTCACCAAATTTGGCAACCGCTTTTTTAAAGGAAATTAAAAGCTTAAAAAAATCACGAGGGGATATCATATTACTGATTTATTTTATGTCATTGACTAACACAATGTAAAATGTTGTGCTTGTTCACACCACAGGCCTTATTTCAGCCATTTAACCAAAAACCCATTGACTTAAACAATGGAAACTGAAGAACAAAAATGTCCTGTTTCCAGGTTTTAGGACTCATTTCTGCATCACCAATGACCTCATCATCTAAAGCCAACAACATGGACGGAAATCCACATACAGTAATTAACATTTTGATTTTATTTGATTACTTTTGACATGCTTTATATCAATATAATGTCATTGCTTAATGTTTTAAAGATTTGCTTTTCACGAAATGTGCTAGACTTGTGTTTTCTCGTATTGTTTTCTTACAAACGGAGACTGTGGCTGAAGGAAGTTGGATCAGGGTCATGATTATAATGAAACCACACAGCTTCCTCTGAGTAGAGCTGACATAAATGTGCAATGGGCAAGAAACTCCACTCGTTCTCGGAAAACAAAGACGGTTCTAATTACTTTGGCAAATTTTGCTGTCTAATTAACGCTCATTTCCCCTAAACCTGCTTATAGAGACTTTATGAAGTCTGTCAGACATTATGAGGTTCCTGTGAGGTGGTTATTTTGTGTGTGTTTGTGTGTATATTTTGTTCCATGGAAAACCTTCATAACATGTAACATCCAGTTGGCCCGTGTTAAAATTGGACAGAATCTAGATAGCACGCGTAAGTCTGCAAGATGTCTGTTTACTAACATCTGAGTTACACATTTTAAATTATTACATCTTAAAGACATCTTCTAAACGTCCATTTGACATCTGACAGGAAACGACCTATAGACGTATTGCAGATTAGCAAAAAATACGTCTTCCAGATATAAACACACACATCAAATAGACGTCTCCGTGATGTACGTGTGCTATCAGTGGCCCAGATAGCACAAGTCTATTTGATGTGATGTTTACATCTGGAAGACGTATTTTTAAGAGTGTTTGCTCATTTGCAATACGTCCTGTCAGATGTCAAATAGATGTTTAGAAGATGTCAGTTTAACATGCCTCCTAAATCATTACATCTTAAAGACATCTTCTAACCATCTATTTGACATCTGACAGGAAACGTCCTACAGACGTATCGCAGATGAGCACACACTCTTAAAAATATATCTTACAGATGTAAACCCAGGTAGCACAAGTCTATTTGATGTGATTTTTATATCTGGAAGACGTATTTTTAAGAGTGTTTGCTCATCTGCAATACGTCTATAGGACGTTTCCTGCCAGATGTCAAATAGACGTTTAGAAGATGTAATAATTTAGAATGTATGTAAAACTGACATCTTCTAAACGTATTTGACATCTGATAGGAAACGTCCTATAGACGTATTGCAGATGAGCAAACACTCTTAAAATACGTCTTCCAGATGTAAATAGCACATCAAACAGCCTTGTGCTCTCTGGGTTTACACGACAAAATGGTACCCTTTAAAATTGTACTTTTACTTTTTCCGCGTACAGACTACAACATTGTCAAAACGATCCCCGTTTACACGGATCCGCGTAAGCGCCTAAAACGCTGTATTATTCATTCCAGACCAGTAGTTGGCGATGTCACTTTGTGAAGAAACACTATCGCACCAATGTAGGAAACATGTATTACGCATGCGCATAACATCACCATTTCACAAATTCAAGTTTTTGTCATTTACGTGGAGATGATGGCGATATCGTTTTCAAAAATGTGTACTTTGAAACCCGTTTCAAAAGTTTGCGTTTTGAGTGTTGTACCGTTGGTGCAACATTGTCTAAATAAATAAAATCTCCAGGAACAGGACTGGACACTCTTGGCATACACAAATTCAGGCTCTGGTAGGGCACTGGGGGTGGTGATGGCGCAGTAGATAAGACACACGCCTTTGGTGTGAGAGACCCGGGTTCGAATCCACTGCGAGACACCAATGTGTTCCTGAGCAAGACACTTAACCCCTAGTCGCTCAAGAGGTGCGCGACCTCTGGCATATATAGCAATTGTAAGTCACTTCGGATAAAAGCGTCAGCTAAATGAATAAATGTAAATGGTCACTAAACATTAGGACACTCTGTTTCTGGTGACATATGTCCTCGGTGTAAATCGTCACTACGGTCATGATTTTGCCAGACATGTTCAACATATTTTGTTAGTCCTCAACATATCCCCTAACCCCTCAACCTTAACCCTACCCATAAGTTATCCCTATTATCAGAGGGGAATTAGGTAACTGATGTAGCTAAACCTGGTTCTATGAGTCAAATGGACATAAACTGTCAATTCTGATTGGTTGATAGAAATGCTGTTCTAGGATCATGAAATATGTTCATAAATAAGAGTATACATGAACATCTGTGTAAGGTTGAAAATTAGAGCCCGACCGATAAAGGAATTTGAAGGCCGATACCGATACAAATATTTGTAGGTTTTAAAATCCGATATATCGGCCGATATTTTTATTTCAGAAACGCACAACAAAACATTAACAGATTTCCCTAACATTAGTTATTTATAGTTATTTATGAGTTTTAATTAAAATAATATGATAATGCATTTTAAAAAGAGCTAGCTTTTAGGTTATTTAAATATAAATAATAATAAATTAAATAAATAAATAATAATTAGG